ACCTGACTGAAGGGGGGTTTTACAGATCCTTAGATGAATCTGGTTGCTGCTATAAAGCTGAAAATGGTTGCCTGAATGTGTAAAGGAATGAAAATTTGGTTCTTAAAGGGGTCAAACGTAATGATCTCTATATTCTATGTGGTAATCACTACTCAAATTATGTTAACTCTGCTTTGTTTACTGCTAACCTTACTGTTACAAGGAAATGGCACCCCAAAATAGGCCATATGAGCCAGAAAGGGTTGGATATCTTAAGCCAGCAAGGTATGCTTGATAAGGACTCTATTGGCACCTTAATTTTTTGTGAAACTTGCATAATGGGTAAACAACACAGGGTGAGTTTCCAGAAAGGAACTCACCTTGCAACCAACTGCTTAGAATATCTCCATGCTTACTTATGGGGGTTTGGAAAGGTCAAGACACATGGGGGAAGTTATTGCTTTTTATCTATAGTTGATGACTATAGCAGAAAAGTATGGGTATATTTACTTAAGACCAAGGATGAGGCTTTAGCTAGATTTAAGAGTTGGAAACTATTGGTAGAAAATCAGACTAATAAAAGAGTCAAAGCCCTTAGGACTGACAATGGACTAGAATTCTACAACTTTGATTTTGATCAATTTTGTAGTGACCAAGGGATATTGAGGCATAGAACTGTTAGGAAGACTCCACAGCAAAATAGAGTGGCTAAGAGAATGAACAGGACTTTGTTAGAAAAAGTTAGGTGTTTGTTGTTCACATCAGGTTTGTCAAAATCGTTCTGGGGGGAAACACTAAACACTGCTACATATCTAGTAAATAAGAGTCCTTCAAGTGCAATAAACTTTATATGTCTAGAAGAAAAATGGTCTAATAGGAAGCCCAATCTAGGTCATCTTAGGGCTTTCAGGTGTGTTGCTTATGCACACACCAATGAAGAAAAACTAGAAACTTGGTCCTTAAAATGTGTATTCCTAGGATACCAAAAGGGAACTAAGGGATATAGGCTATGGGAAAGAAGTGCACCATGGGTTAAAATCATTATTAAAAGAGATTTAATCTTTAATGAAAATCAGTTTCCTTGTAGAATTTCTAATAATGATGTAGGTGCTTCAACAAGTGACACCATGAGCCAGAACCAACACATGGGAACACAAATTGAGGTGGAGCAGGTCAAATCCCAACTTAAACTGGAAAATCAAGAAGAAGTACCTACAACACCAAACTTGGAACATGATCCAAAAGATGAACCAGTAGACAATCCAAAACTGCCCTAGCATGAATCATTATCCCAATATCAACTAACCAGGGACAAGACCAGAAGAGAAATCAAACCACTTGCCAGGTATTTGTATGTTGATTTAATTTACATTGCATTGGTTGCTGGTGCTGAAATTCAAAGAACAGAACTAGATAGCTATAAGGAAGCTATGAGGTCCAAAGACAAAGAAAATGGCAAGCTACCATGGAAGAGGAGATGCACTCCTTGAAGGAAAATGGTACTTGGTCCCTGGTACCTTGTCCTAGAAATCAGAGATTAATTGAGTGCAGATGGCTGTTTAAGGTAAAGAAATGTATCAGTCCCTTTGACCCTCCTAGATTTAAGGCTAGACTTGTAGCAAAATGCTACACACAAAGGGAAGGAATTGATTTCAATGAGATTTTTTCTCCTGTAGTTAAGTATAAAACTATTAGAATCATGTTATCTGTAGTAGCACACCAGAATTTAGAATTAGAGCAGTTAGATGTAAAAACTGCATTTTTGCATGGTAACTTAGAAGAAGAAAATTTTTTGAAACAACCTATTGGGTTTATAGATAACAAATTCCTTGATCATGTGTGTTTTTTGCACAAGTCTCTATATGGCCTTAAGCAGTCCCCTAAGCAATGGTATAAAAGGTTTGATACCTTTATCACTAGCATTGGTTTCAATAGGAGTGATTATGATAGTTGTTTTTACTATGATTTAAATGCTGACATGCCTATATACCTACTCCTTTATGTGGATGACATGCTGCTAATCAATAAATCAAAGTCTATGATAACTTATTTGAAGTCTAGATTAAATTCTGAGTTTGACATGAAGGACATAGGATGTGCTAAGAAGATCCTAGGGATAGTGATAGATAGAAGTAGGAAGGATTGTGAACTAAAACTTCAACAGTCCTCCTACTTGCTAAAACTGGTATCCAAGTTTGGAATGGTTGGTTCTAAGGTGGTTTCCATGCCTCTAGCTAGTCACTTTATGCTTAGTAAGACATAATGTCCTAAGTCTGATGCTGAGTTAATTAGAATGGAAAAAATATCTTATGCTAATGTTATAGAATCTGTTATGTACACTATGATCAACACCAGACCTGACCTGTCCTATGCAATTTCTCTTCTTAGCCGATTCATGTCTAATCCAGGAATAGAACACTGGTCAGCACTAAAGTGGTTATTAAAGTACATTAATAGCATAATACATGTTGAATTAGAATATAGAAAAAGAGGAAATTTATTTGATCTTATGGGGTTTGTAGATTCTGATTTTGTAGGGGACATGGATACAATGAAATCAACCACTTCATTCTTCTTCACATTGGGAGGAAATTGTATAAGTTGGAAGTCGCAGCTCCAACCCATTGTGACACTTTCTTCCACGGAGGCAGAATACGTAGTAGTGGTAGATGTGTTTAAAGAGGCACTGTGGCTTAAAGGGTTACTGTTTGAGGTGGAGTTGATAGATGGGGAAGTGACAATATTTTATGATAGCCAAAGTGCAATCCATTTAAGCACAAATCCAGTCTATTATGAAAGGACCAAGCATATGGATGTAAGGTTCCATTTTGTAAGGGATTTGGTGACTCAATGAGTTATAGACCTGAAGAACATACCAACAAAGGATAATCTAGCTGATATGGGCACTAAGGTAGTCACTATTACAAAGTTCAAGCACTGCTTGAACCTACTGTTATCAAGTAGACAGCAAACTATAGAGCTGAGAAGGGTTCTTGGGTGGTAGCTGCACTAGGGAGATATGAACTGAGCAGGGAGTTTTGAGCTTCAATGTGAAGAATGTCAAAGTAAAGCCCAAAACGGTGTCGTTGAGCATTAGCCCAAAACGGTGTCGTTGGCCATTAGTTCAATGCTGTCATTTTTTGGGACAGCTCCAAGATTAATCCTGACCATTGATGACAAGCTAAATCTGACGGCCAAAATTACGCCACCAACCCAAGTCTAAAAGAAGGGTCTAGAGTCAAATTCAAGAGCTTTACACACACATCTTTTGCGATTAAGGTTTTCTTCTCTGTTAGGGTTTCTAATTGTAATCTCATAGGCTTGTAATCTAGTGCAATTGTTGTAATCATGGTGAGAGTTGAGTTTCCTTCATGATTTGAGGAGCTGGGTTAGTTTTCTCATATGAAAGGGTTACAGTTGAGTCTTGAGAGAATTTGCAGAGAGAGAGTGAACTAATTGAGTTCAATTTGATTGTATTGTGTAAATCTTGATCTCTACTGCAGTGAGCCCTAAGTTTACTGGAGCTCAAAGTGGTTGTAGCTTATCCAATTTAGGTAAGTGAACCACAGTAAAAATTATTACGCTCTTGTCTTTCTTGTTTTTGTTTCAGTTTTGATTCTTGATTGATTGAGTGAAATAGTTAGTTTTAGAGTTAGTGAATCTCCAGATTAACATAATAGTTCTTCTTCTACACCCTTAACAATAAGCCTACTAAATCCTTCAAATTGTGTCTGATTAAAACTAGGTATTGTGACATTTCCTTGTTTAAACAACATCAGTAGTATTGTCCTCTAATAGATACCAACTCCCAACATTGTTGTTTCATGCGCAACCTGGGTAGGCCTCTTGTAAAAGAAAAAAATAAAAAAATTTAATTAATTATAGGTTTAGTTTTGTTGATGCCAAATTTCACAACCACCTGGGGAGGATGTTTCTTGCCTTCATAACACAGTGCCTTCATGTTTTTGCCCTTAGATTAGTTGTCCGTCTTTTGACTAGAATTTTGTTGTGACATCGGTCTGTAAAGAACTACAAAGGCACTTGCGGGATCGCAGGTTGGAGGGGCCTTGGATTCATTAACTCTTTTTCTTTGACTCGACCGTTTTTGTGACACTAGTCTAGCAAAAGAACATAGAGGCATGGATGTAGGGTTAGAGGCTAATTCTGGCGACGATCAGCTTCAAACAGAGTGCTCAAGTGTGAGACTTCTCTGAATGATTATTGTATGATCATTCCATGCCGTTTGGCTCCCTTTATATAGTGAAATAGATTAGGGTTTAGAGAATGATTTTCTTTTTCGTAGTAGGATTTAGGTTGTAGAAGGATTCTTGGAGCTCTAGGAGATGCAAGATCTTCTCCCCATTTTTATTCGGTATCTAGTCCTTATTCATCCCCTAATTTAACTCACTTTCCTTTTACTAGTAGATTCTCTATTTTTATAATTGTATTTCCTATTTTAGAGAGATTTTCTTTGGATAACTTACTTAATGGACAAGCATGTCAATTTAAGATTTTAATATTTTGCTCCTAGGAAAATTCAGATACTACAAGTTTTTTTTCAAAATATATTGTACATATATATTTATATAATTAAATATTGAATAATTAATATTTTCATTCATTTCTTATTAATTTTAGAAACAAAAACATAACATTTTGTTAACAATTTTATCTTATCTCATTTTTTTTTAATAACTTTTATTTATCATGTACCATAAATTCCAAAATATGTCAAGTATACAATTTTGCATTAAAAATATTTTAAAAATTAAAAATTCATATTTAACTAATAATAAATTCAATTATTATAAAATTTAAATCAACCAAAAATAGAAAAACATAGAAAAAAATATTGAGGCAATGCGAAAATATACAGAATTTATAAAAAAAAATAAAAATTAAACAAATAGTAGAAATACCAGTAAAATGATGATTGTAGAAATATATTAAAAACTAATTAAATATTTAAAAATATATATATATATATATATATTTTAATACGAATAAAAATAACACAAATGTTTCCCAAATTCCGCCTTCTTGTTTTTGGGTTTTTTGTTCGCCTTTTAGTTTGTGAATTCACTAGATCACGCACAGCGACTGTAAAGAATGGCAACGAGAAGCAATTTCTACAAGAATCCTTCCCTCGCTTATAAAAAGGATCTCAGTCTTTCTTCCGTTCTTCAAAACTTGAAAGGTGACCAATTCGATTTCTCATCTAAACTTATAACTCAACTCAATGGAAATTCTTTACGTCCCTTGTTTTTTTCTTCCCTATAATTTATGGAGTCATATAAATTTGTAGCATATAATATTGTCGCCGGAAATGTACCTCCGATTGAAGAACAACCTCCAGCCGAGGAGAGAAAAACCAGTACAAAACGACCTCGCTTCTCGAAACCACAGTCAGATAGAAACCTTGAAATCGAAGACAACGATAGGCCTATGTCTCACCAGGATTACATTGACAAGAGAAGGCAACTTTTAGTAGCTCTAACGAACTTTTATATTTTAAGCTATTATCGTTTCAGTTAATTATTATTACCAAATGTTTATAATTTGAGTCAATTTGTTTTTTGGTTCGATTGAGCAGAAAGGAAGTTAGTTCGAATCCGTCTTATGAGGAATTAAGTACTGACGTTTTGGTATTTTCAAATTTCAATGTTGTGCTTCAGCTTATGTGGATTATTATTCTCTATTATATGTTTTAAACATTGGCTTTATTTGTGTTTTGACAGGGAACTTCTAGTTTGGGTATCAGTTTGGTGGGCTATGGAAGTAAGTGGCATCTATAATTCACTTGAAATTTGTTTGTTTATAAATATATAGAATCAAAATTTTAAAATACGAAACCGAAAATTTAATCATAACAACCTGAAAAATTGTATGATTTCTTCTGTATGGTAGGAAGGAAATGAACTTGATTGTGATATGTTTGATATGGAACATAGGTGAAGGTTTTTATGATGGTAAAAATTAGAAGTTACAATGTTTAGAATTTATGAATTCTATCCAGTATTTCTCGGTATAATGGTAGTCAGCCACTCCTAAGTCGTGTTGTTTTAACTTGATATAAGGTGTATGTTTTTGCAAGTAGTGTTTTTTAGTTGTTCCCTTCCTCTCTTCCTCTTTTTGGCCAATTTTTTTCCCTCTTTCTCTTTTCGGTGAAATTTTTCTTCTCTTTATTTGTTTTTTATTTTTTTCTTTCTTCCTTTCCTTTTTTCCTCTTTTTAACCAGTTTTTCTTTTCTTCTCTTCCCTTCTGGTGTTCCTTTTTTCATTTAATTATTTTTTCTTTCTTTTGTTCCTCTGTTCCCTTCTTATGTTCCTTTCCTCTCTTCATTTTCCTTGCAAATTTATTTATATATCTTCTTTCCTCCCTTCTTATATCAATTTCACTTTGGTATGTGAAAAACAAGTCGTTACTCACGTTGTCACAACTAGTTTTTGGTTTGATCTTAGGCATCCATGTCATCATCTAGGTGAGACAGAGCCCTCTAAAAGTTACAAGACAAACCTACAACACGAATTAAATAGACAGACACCAAAATCACAAGGCAGACCTATGAGATGAAAGGAAGGGTCGAACCAACTGTAAGGTTGTTAGGTAAACTTACGAGACTAAAGGAACACAAAGGTCAATAGCTTGTGGTTGACCTTCTGTCAATCATTGCCCTTGCCCAATCTAAATCGATGTAAGCTTCTACCTCCAAGTGTTTATTCATTGAGTATAATATCCCATTGCATGGGCTGGACTTGAGATGTCTTAATTTATGATTGATCGCCTGTACTTCCGATGCAATTGGAGAATGCATGAACTGACTAACCGAGCTTACAACAAAGGCAATATCTAGTTTAGTATGAGACAAATAAATTAATCTCCCTACTATCCTTTGATATCGGTCCCTAAAAGCGATATTGTTGCCACTCTTTGGTGCAAGCTAAAATTTCAGAGCTATCGGCTTACTTGCAAGTTTACAACTAAGCATTCCAGTTTCTTTTAAAAGATCAAGGATGTATTTTCTTTGTGAAATGAAGATTCTTTGCTTTGAGCATGCAACTTCAGTTCTCAATAAATACTTTAGTAAGCTTTTATGACACATCTATGTAAATATATAATAGTTGTCAGCTTTCTAGTGACTTGAGTATTTAATAAACACGGTATGATCACCTTGACTTTGATGATAGCCTAGGTTCAACATAAATTTAGCAAACCTGCTAAACCATGCTCAAGATGATTGTTTAAGGTCATACATGGGTTTCTTTACTTTGCATATTAGGTCATCGTCAAAATTTAACCTAGGTGAGATATCCATGTAGACTTCTTTCTCAAGATTCCTATTAAGAAAAACATACTTTATGTCGAATAGATGAAGTGGCCAATCTAAGTTGGCTACTAGCCAATCTAAGTTGGCTACTAGTGACAATAGAACTTGAATAGAATTGATCTTGGCAATTGGAGCAAATGTTCCTTGATCGTGAATTCCAAAGGTTTGAGTGAAGCTTTGGCTATCAACCTTGCTTTATAGGGTTCCATTGTCCCATTTGCTTTGATCTTCATAGTAAACACCCCCCCACAATTTTCTTTCTTTCTGGTAGTTTCGCTAACTCCCGTTTTGTAATATAAATAAACTAAAAGGGAAATTCTGAAAGAGTGAAATGTCATAATATAATGGAAGAATGGTGAAACTGAAATAGAGCAAGAAGAAAAGTAGGCCTTTGATTTTATTTCTGCTTAACTAAGTTGTAGCGAATACAAGTGTGTTTGCAAAGGAATAGTGGCTCTATTTATATACTTTTGGAGCCAAACATATTACCAATAGAAAAGGATAACTCAATTGTCTTTCTCTTGGTATAAGACACTTGTAAAATAAGTGTCATTTTGTTATGGTGCCATGTGATGGAACATCCGCGTCACACAATACTTCCCTTGGATTTCCACCTACAGATAATTGTATTTGACTTTGCCAATGGGATAAAAACCTAAGCAGAAGAACACAACTATACAATGAGCTGTGAAGTGATGTTGGACCTGCTTAAACTGTTTTGTTATAAACCGTGTTAGTAAATCTCAGTGGGATGCAATCTAGTCAAGAGAAAAAGTATACAGTGTACATAAATCCTATAATAAATATGTGCTCCTCTTGATGAACGCTACCCTTTATTGTGACATTACATGTGGATGTTTTACCATATGACTCCATAATAAAATGATACTTACCTTAAAAGTGTCTTATACCACAAGAAAGATAATTGAGTTGTCCCTTTTACATTGGTAATATGTTTGGCTCCAAAGTCTATATATAGAGCCCAAATTTCATTTGTAAAGCACACTTGTATTCGGTCCAATTTGTTAAGGAGCAATAAACAAGGTTTCCTTTCTTCTTGCTCTATTTCAGTTTAACCCTTCTTACATTCTATTAATATATTTTCGCTATTTTTCTGAATTTCTCTTTTAATCTGTTTATTTAACAACACCCGTGTCTTGTTTTTGTGAAGTGCCCTCAGCTCCTCATTAATGGCTTTCATCCATTTTGGATTTTTCATGGTTTCTTGTACGTTAAAAGAGAGACCACAAGTAAAAGCTGAAAAACGAGGAAGTAATTGATGATATGACACAAATTGTTGGATTGGGTGTTTTACTGGGTTCCGAATAGCACTAGGAAGATTAATTTGACTTTTAGGTGGATGTGCAATATCAAGACCATCTTCCTCAAGTGATTAGATTGGACTGGTAAGTTGGCGATGGGTTGTTGTTCTTCAGGCTGTTCTTCTTCTTGTTTTTCCTTTGTTTTTAACTCCATTTTTATTTGGCTCTGTTTTGTTATTTTTCTCTTTGAACAAACCGTCTTTCCCTTCTCCATCTACACCTCAGCGTTCATTAGTTTATTGATAAAACTTTTCACATTTTTAGACAAGTTTTTACCATCTTCGGCAAGCACACTTGATTGCTCTTCAATCTATGGTTGTTCAACAATACTAACATTTGAAGCAATTCGTGGAAGTAGTCCCCAAGACTATTCTTCTTGCGGGAGCAAACCCATTGTACTAAGGAATATCTTCTCAAAACATTACATCCATGCTTTAAAAGAAAAAGATTCTACCAGAGGGATGGCAACATCTATACCTCATTTGATAAGGTGTATAGCCAAGGAAGATGCATTTAAGGGCTCTTCGATCCAACTTAATCTGATTGGAGATGTGACACTACGCTTGGTAAGTGTTAGGATCCCACATTGGAAAAGAAAAAGGTGGGCATGTGGGTTATAAAAGGCTTGTGCACCTTCCCTTGGCAAACCGGTTTTCCAAGAAGAGTTCTACCCAAGCCTATGAAAGACTCATTGCTCAGCCCAATTGTTGAGTTGTTGGAGTGAGTTCCTATCAATTAGTATCAGAGCATGATCTTGTGCCCACAAGACGTTGTCTATGTGGCAGGCTGACCCGTGGCAGGCTGACCTTGGGCCCAGGCTGCTACCCCAAGAAAGGGCATGGAGACCCGAGGGAAAAGGGATCCGCGTAGTCACCCATGGGATAAAGAGGCCGTCATGGACGTCGGTTGTAGAAGTGTGGTGGAATGTTAGGATCCCACATTGGAAGGGAAAAGGGTGGGCATGTAGGTTATAAAGACTTGGGCACTCTCCCTTGGCCAGCTTGTTTTCCAAGGAGAGTAACTCATTGCCCAGCCCAATTGTTGAGTTGTTGGAATGCCTTCCTATCAGTAAGGCTATATCTAGGAAAGAAAAAATAATTTCAAAATCAATCATAGACTGATTACACGAAAAAATAGGAGTCAACCCAATATGTACAAGTAATTAAGGAATAAAGACTAATTAGCTGGAACATTGAATACGACTTGTAAATGAAGAAGTATTCTGATATCTTTTGGAACAAATGTAGTAAATTCCAACTTCATGGACAAGACATGACTATCAAATTGAACATGGCATTTAGCCTGTTGCCTATAAATAATCCCTCTAACACAGGGCAAAAATGAAATGAATGATTCTCTCCAAAAGACTCTCTCTCTCTCTCTCTCTCTCTCTCTCTCTCTCTCTCTCTCTCTAAGTTTTCTCCTAATTTTGGATCTTGTTTTGCTTTATTTTCCAGTCAAGAGGTTGGCTAGAGAGTCAAAGGGTCTACTCCAGCAACAACCCAGCTACCCTCCTAACATTTCTCTCTTTTGCAACTTCCAATCTTCCAAGAGGAGTGGCCGAGAAGATAATCCTAGGGCCTACTAGATTCCATCTGAATCTAGTTTAGCCCTTCACTGAGGATATTTTCAAAAAGCATAATCCCATACACTAGAACCCTTCATTAGCTTTAACTCTCACCTCATCGCACCAATTACTTCATATTCAACCTTTAGTCCAATTTTTGGCATCAACAAAAGAGTAATGTAATTGTTCTACTTTGAAGTAAAAGAATGACTCGAAAATCTTTCATTTCTTTTTGTCCATTATCATTCTATTAAGTTTCTTTGACTTCTAATCTGCGATTGTGTGTTGTACATTTTCTCAGTTGCAAAGGATTTTTTATTGTTTTGCACTATGAACTATCATGTACCTGGAACTGATTATTATTTAACATTTGTGCTCATTTTAACCAGTATTGTGTTAAAAACTCTAGGTGATGAGAGTGTTTCTTCAGAATGTGAAGAAACGGAGGATACTCCAGACCATGGTATGCTCTTGAATATCTGACCCATCAATTTGTTGTCTCATAGATTTTACTTTCAGCTACATTGGAATCATCATAGATTATAAGTTCTGAGTTCTGTGGTCTGTCTAGTGGATCAACTGATACAAGTCTTTTCCAATCCATTTAGGAGTTCCAAACGTCTTAGTTGTAATTTTGGGACAAATTTTAATCTTTTCTTTAGTGCAAGTGAAGGCCCAGGCTGCTTTGATGTAATGTGAATATAGATGCTTGCCCAGATTTGTTTCGATTTATCTTTTCTTCTTTTCTATAGCTAACATGAGTGAAGTGGAGAAAACTAAGAGCAGAAGTGAACAACGGTATCCTGTTCCAGGAGAACCTGCTTGTGTAGTATGTGGTAAATATGGAGAATATATATGCAATGAGGTCAGTAGTGAACACTATGTTTATATTTTAAATCTTTGCTCACATTGTCACCATTTTCAAGCTCCCTATTGACCTTTTATATGCTTTATCTCTGTTTTTGATAGACCGATGATGATATCTGCAGCCTGGAGTGCAAAGCTGCTGTTCTGAGAAGTCTTGAAATTGCTGAGGTATTTTGGCATTTACTAAAGCCATGCAATTTGGTTCTTCCAGTAGCATCTCTCTCCCAACCTGTTGTCATACTAATTTATTCCAGTTTTAGGCAGTATTATCCAACCAATTAAAAGAATAATAAAAAAGCTGTCTTGGTTTTTAGCCGTTGCCCCAATATCTGACTGTCTTTTATAATGTTTCTCAGGAACCCTCAATCAAGCAAAATCCAGATGTCTCATCATCAGGAAATGCAGGTGCCTTACAAGCGGCTGAGTTTGAGAAGGACTTTTGGGATTATAACCGCAATCGCTGGTCCGAAAAGAGATCTAGTCTTTGTACTTATCAATGGTATATTTCTTTATTAAACATCAGCTTCTTTTATTGCTCAAACTTAAGTTTCTATAGGAGGTGCAAAGATAAACCATGTTTGTCTCTCCTCTTACTATTCTTTTATTCCTTTTTAGTCATTCCTTGAAAACTAAAAGTTTTCTTGAAGAATGCTAAAGGGGTGTTACCCAAATACAACTAGTTGAGCTTTTCCCTCCTTATATCCCACCTTAGTACTTCCATCCTCCAATCAAGGCAGCGAAGAGAGCCAAAATGGCTCCCACACGAGCCTCCTTCTCAACAATACCCCAAAGTTTAATAAGATGACATTGACTTCTTGTTAACAAATTCAAAGTGAAGACCTGAGACCACAAGGATAATGCTAACATTAATTTATCAACTTCTTCTCGTGCTTTTGAAGTGGCTGATGATCAATTGGCCCCTTGTAATGAAATTTTCAACTTCAAAAATCTTTGCTAGCTGATAACAGACTGTCAGCAGAAAAGATTATTGTGATTTGATTGGACTCTTTTGAAAGAATTTTACCTCTTTTTCTGTATCAGAGTTATTATCAGCAACACATTCTGCTTGTTGCTATATTATGTACTTCTTTTGACACAAAATTTTCATTACAGCTGGAAATGTAAGAGGCCTGGGCACTTTGCTGAGGATTGTTTAGTGATGACAAGTAACCAGGTTCATTATTATGGTTCACCTGTAATTTTGAAAAGTCTTCCCTTCATAGTACTATGATTTACTTATGTTTTGCTTTATTAAAGTTACTTCTGCATATAGGTGGCTTCAGGGCAGAATAAATCCAATTCCATTGCCAAAGATCTGATTGAGTTGTATCGAAGGTTTGTAAAATATAGTCTAGTTTGTTGCCCTCTTGTAGTAGCTTGTTTTCTTTTCTAGGTGTATTTTGCTTATCTACTTGAACATGATCCAGGAAAATAAGTTTTGCCTGCAACCTTAACCTCACCACGGTAGTATGTAGGATGACTATATATTTAAGGTAATCTGCTTAAATTTTTTAGGCTTTGGATTATCTTTAATGTTACAGTTGAAATGATCTATTTACTCAAAATAAAAGGATCTTGATGGACCAGACATGTTTGGTACATCAGGGACAATGTCCACAAAATAATTGTCAATTTTCTTAGCAATTTTATGATCATTTCATTTTTGTCTAATGTTGCCCACAGCTCTGATTCTTATTTTTCTGACCCCTTGACTATGATCACCTGGGCTTAGTGAACTTGTGATGTGTTCTTTGGTTTACTTTCTTGGAATATACTTAAAGCAAGCTTGTTGCTTACGTGAATGGGCTGGAAATTTTGATTAATATATCTCAGCTATATGCTGGGGTTCATGACATGCCAAAGAACTTAGTGGCCTTTGCTATTTTATCTTTGTATTTGCAGGTGCCACCAGATCAGCAAAACCTTATCAGCAGCAAAGTGCAATGTATGCTGCAGCTCCTTAAATTTGGCTACTTGCCTTGACTGCAATACTGTCCTTTGTGACAGGTAAGGATGCTAACTTTTGCTAAGGACTAGCATTTTGTAATTCATACTGCACTGCTACTGTCTATGTTTAACTCATTGATATAATTGTCCTTCACCAAACAATGATGTAATATTCACATTTAATGTCATTATGTGATTCAAATGCCATATCCTATGTCATAAATTATTGATTTTCTAATCTCAGTATGCTTAAATTCAGTTTTATCAATTTTAGAAGTTCATTGGTGTCAATGACATTCTCATTATATGTATTCAGATGAGGGTGTTTTCCTCTTTTGTCTGTCTGTTTGTTTGTGTCTTTTGCATTTTACATAAGATGGAGAACAAGGAATATGAATTTTAAGGGAAGAGTGATTATTATCGAGCATATGGCTGGAAGATTGTTCATAAATTTTTAGAATGGGGGACCAGGGTAGTATTAAAGAAACTCTTGTTTGATGATGGTTAGTTGGTTCACTTCTTTGAATGACTAAATTAATCGATTGTGATCTTGGAGCTTTTCTCATACATAACCTAATTTCAGTGCAGGGCATTTAAATGAGCATATCAGGACAAAATCTTCACACCAAAAATATTACTCTCACAAGCTTAAGCGCCTGGTGAGAATTTCATTGAGATACTGTGTAATATAGATTTATGAAAGTCATATTTTCTCATGGCCCTAGATATAACTTTAATTTCCTGGAAGAATATTTGTGCGTATGCAACTACTTGTGTGTTTTGGACTTCCATGATGCTTTCCCTTATGCTGATGCTGTCCTGATTAATGATGACAGAATGTAAATGATGTAGGTTAAATGCTGTAAATCAACATGCAAGGTGACTGAGATTACTGATCTTCTGGTTTGTCACTACTGTTTTAGTAAAGCGTTTGACAAGTACAAGGATATGTACAGTGCAACCTGGTATGGATCAAAAATACCAAAATAATCGTCTTTTATTCTATTGATTTCCCCCTTCTTTTATCTATATGGAATATACTAAATGCTAGCAACGTCTTGACTAAAATTATTTGTTGTTTATTTAATTATTTGTTGTTTGGAATTACAGTTTTCCATTTGGTGAGGGGGATGTTTGAGAGAGAAGGGTTTGATAAATATTAATATAACTGCAACCGTATTCTTCTTGTTTATTCCTTGCACTTGTAATGTCTAAATCTTTGTATTGTTATAAATTGTCTTGATGTGATAATGTTCAAGAGTATCATGGAATTTTGTTGTCTTCCAAACTAAGGTTCTTTAAGTGCCTTTTATTTGAATTGATTGTAGCTTAACGTATCCTTTGCTGATTGCAGGAAAGGAGCTGGACTTCAAATTATTTGGAATTCTATTTGCTGTGAGGATCACTTTGAGTGGTAAGTCTAAATAGCATTGCATTCCTACTTATTCTAGTCCAACATTGACTTTGCATATGTCCTTTTTTGTTACAGGCATAGGGTGAATTGTTTAAATGCAGATGTAGAAGACCGAGCGTATATCATTGGCAGCTCAGCCAAGAAGGAAAAGCTCGTTCAGCTTAGTGATTGCATTTTCTGATGGAATCTTGGTGACAAACTACTAATGTTTGATCATTCAAAGATTTGCTTTGCGTTGAGTTGATTAACAACTGTATCATGTGTATTTTAGGTAAGTGAAGAATAATATTTACTTAGATGTAATGTGGAAAGGATTGCTCTTAAGGCTCTTTGTGTTTTGTATGCTACTGGTTTTCATGGTATGGACTGGTGTAGAATCAGTTTGGATGTCCATACGATTGGAGACTGACGAGGTCACTTGGATGCTTAATACACCTGCATAACCCGATTTTGATGAAGGCATTGTATTGGAATTATGAGGGAAAATGTAAGCCGAAGACATCTGCTGTCTACTCGATGGCATGCAGCTAGAAAATATTGTAATAGAGAAGATTATAATGTGGAAGTTAGTTCACGGGATTGTGGAATCTCAAACCCATTAATGTACATAATGTGATTTTGTTTGAATTATTTGGAAAATCGTGCTTCATGTGATTTCAATTGTGTTATTTTTAAAATGGTCGCAGAAATTATGAACACCAAAATTAGTCAAAATAAGATATGGTCAATCCCCAGGCTCTACAAGTTGCCCAACAATCGAGTACTAGTTTGTGAGAGACAAATTCTTGACCTGTTTCTTCAATTATAAAACCTTATGATTGATCAATTGGAATATAAGTAAGTGAAAATATCGATATGATTAATTAATCGAAATAGAAGTAAATGATTTTTTTTCTTACAGCTGAAATCGTATAATATAGCTAGTGAATCAGGTGACCCATTAATTCAATTTAAAGCAAATCCAAACTACTTTGTACGTGCATATGTTGATCCGATCTTATTGTACTGAGTATGTGTCAGCTCTTATGGCTTCTCAACTTTGTGTACAAAACAAACCATTCGATTAGCACATTTAAATTGTTCTTATAATTCGGAAGGACAGAAGGGAATTGTTAATCTTTTATATCTTCTGTTTTGGTGATGAACATGAACACTATTCATGCGTCAAGGTTCAACCTGTACCCCCAAAGTGGTTGAAGTTGCTGACCAAGACCCAAGCTGCTGGCGTTGGCGCTCCCGATGGTGACCCCTGATCCAATAAAACACATTTGCTTATGTAGTTGCATGCTATTGTTTCTAATTCTATATTTATTTATTAAGTTATTGGTAACAAAACTAACGACAAAGTCCACCAAAGTACCTTTTCTCAGCTATTAAAGTATAAATGTGTCCATACGTACACGCCGGTTTAGTTGGTATTATTATTATTTAGTGTTAAAATTGTAAGAACATGAATGACAGCCACCATTAGATACAGGTGGGTTTAGTTAGGATTGGTGGGCATAACATGCCAAAATAGGTCAAACAGGTGCTGTTTGGAAGTCTAATTTACAACAATTAGCAGTTAAACCTACTTTAATCTTGGCTTACTCAGCGCAGACGAAACTTCAAGTTTGAATTAATCTTGCTACGTTATTGTTTTGTATGACAAAGTTTAGTTGAAAATGTGAGTAGAAGAATTGAAGCTTAATCGAGAGAGGAGTGTTGCAGTTGTAGAATGGTGGCACTAACCCATAGTTCTCTCATATATTCTGAGAATCTGACGCTTCCCACGGTACGCTCAATCTTCATCTGTATTTAATATAATCTCTATCCTGCCGTGTTTTTTTTCAAGGCTTTCACTTTTTTTTCTTATGATAAAATTAGAACTCTCTTCATCTGAATGCATATTTTTCCCTTGTACAACCACTTATCTCAATACAAATTCTCTACGGTGGTTGTTGGATTATGGTTCACGTTAAATTTGATTATACTTTTGACCAATTCAGTTTACATATCTTACATAAACTGAGAAGAAACAGAAGGGATTTCTTGAGGCAATATTCATCGTTACTAACTGTATCTAGTTTATGTAAAATAGCTGTTTATCATTTTTTGGTTTGACTATATTAAGAACTACTTTAGCTAGAATTACCCAGTATTGCCTTCTTTTCCAGTTGCTTGTGAAAGAAATTATGAAAAGAAAAAAAAAATATACATAATTCTAAAATTAGTTTAAAATGTATTTTCTGTGAATTTATATCCAAGTGAAGTATTATATTTAACTTTTTAATGTCTACAGAAATTGAAACTTTTGTTTTTCCCCCTCTTTTTGAAATAGTATGAACCTAAATATTTAGGGGCAGACGAATAAGGAGCTGTATTAATTAAGAAAGTTACAGAAGTAGTATTAATGTGAAGCTAAGTTGTAACATTAGAAGACCTTGAATGAAATTCTTTGTGATTTGAAATGGTGGATATATTCAGTTTCAGGTAATAGTGATGAATGCAAACATGGGATGTGCCCAATGTCGACAAAGAGTCTCCCAAGTTACTTCCAAGATAAAGGGTGAGGAGTTTAATCCTGTTAATTATATTTTTAACATAAAACCAAGAGAAAGAATTTTGAATGGTGAAGTGAAAGTGCATGCTTTTAAACGTCTTGTCGTCACAGAGAAATAGAATGTTCCAAATAATGATAAAAACAAGTATAGAATGCTTATGCTTCTTCTCCAATTCCAATTTCAGGACTGAGAGAGTATACAGTGGATGTCCCCAATAAACAAGTGACTGTAAAAGGGGATTTTGGATTTGGTAGCAAACTCCACTATCATTCTCTTCATCAGAGACAAACCAAGAGTGCGTGTTTCCCTTTCAAATTCTTCTTCAAATCTTTCAGGGCATTTTGCTTCACCAAAACCTTTTGAGGATTTAGCCAGTCAATCAGATTCTATAGCCATTTAAATCAAGGAAATTTTTATTACAAGAAAAGAGAGAAATTGCGGTGTATAGTCATGACTCGTGTGTATTACAGGTTTCTTCCTGATTCATAATAATGATGGTAATCTTAATGTTGGAAAGAAGTAAATCTTTATAAATGAATTCACAAAATCCCAATTTGCCAATTATCAAGACACGCTATACTTCCAAGAGCAACCACAACAATACTTATATAGTGGCCGGCCTCACTTCCATTTACATGCTCTACCAAACTTGTTCTTTGTATGAAAGCTCATTGCGTGTGTCCAAACCGAAGACGAAACTCCGCATCCCTTAAATGAAAGAGTGTATGTTTCATGTGTTAAATTGCAAAATAAAGAAATTCTGCACTTGTAGTTATTTATATTTATTTTAAGCAAACTTCTTCTCTATTACATTTAACATTAAAATCAAATCCAAGTACCTAAAACGTAAAAGCCAATTTATATAACTACAACTACAAGTACCCTACTTTTAAACTATTATACAAAACTCTCGACAACCCCTTTATTCACTCAACCTGGACATGATAAACATCCTTCCTCTCTTCCTCCTTCACTTTAGGCACCACCAGCTTTAAGATACCATTCTTCATTTCAGCTTTGATTTCATCTAGTTTATACAAGGTGGGAGGAAGATCAAGTCTGCTAGAGAACCTCCTTGCACTCTCTTCATCATCTGATTCTTCCTGAGCTTCTCCCTTGATGATGAGAGTATTGTTTTCTACGGAGATTTTGACGTCTTCCTTGCTAAGTCCAGGCATGTCCATTCGCAGGAGAAGAGTGTCCTTATCTTCCTTGACATCCCACCCTCTGCGAGATGGTGAAGCTATACCACGGGAGAAAAAAGGGTTGTCCATGAACTGGTCCATCAGGTTCAGCACCTGGCTCAGACTCCTTGTTGGTGAAAAGGGGTCAAACACGTCTAAAATGCAGAAAAAATAAAATTTTGATTAGAACAGAAAGAGATTAGATGGCTGATGAAAATGAAGAGAAGTTGAAGGACGCGGTACCTGGGAAGAAAGAGGGAGAGGAAGAAGCGGCACGGCGGGCGGAGACAGAGCGATCAGAGCGACGCTCAACATCGACGTTGCGGTTACCATCATCACGATTAGAGAGCTGAGCGTTGGTGTTGAAAGAACGAGAAAGAGAAGCGGGGCGGAGGAGCTGGGTAAAGAGAGTTGAAGTTGAGGTGCTGCTGCAGATACCCCTCCTCAAAGCAATTGATGACGCCATTCTTTTGTTTTCGGTGCGCGGATTAACAGTTTAAGTGGTTATTTATAGTAGGAGTAGGAGATTGAGGAAAGGTGGAGAAAGTTCCAGAGAGAGGAGAGAGATTCTGGAATACTGAAGAATTCTGTTTACATATCAACTTAGTTCTTCGACTGGATTCATTATGAAGTTTGAATTAACATATAAAAGTTTGGAATCTCAATCAAATGTAACAGTTTTGCAATCCCAATTAATGTAATTGATAGGAAGATATTTAATCTTTTCTTTCTTAACAAAATGATGTCACATGGGAAATGAAAGAAACCCTTTTTATTAACCCATATAAAGAAACAGAGTAATATTACAAGATAAAATTGGGATCCTTGACCATGACAAATTTTAATATAAAATGTTGCACTCAAGAAAGTTTTAATTTTACTCTTCCAGCTGTAACTGATGTAAATACGCAAATCATTGTCCAGCATTAACAAAAGAAAACATAAATAACAAAGCAAATTAGTATGATACCATAGATGACAGACTAAAGCCAATATCCAAAATCCGTTACCTAAAGACAAGTAATAAAGCAAAGAAGTGATAAATAATTGCACAGCAAAACAAGCTGTTGATTTATTAAGTCACTGGTATTTCAATTATCGGAATCCTTTGGGCTCAACCACAAATGATAAATCTTCTTTTTAAGTTACAAAAGAATGCATGTTAACAAAAGCATGACTCACCGCACAATACACTAAATTTTCAGCAACCCCGCCTAAACAAGTTCCGTAATTCAACAAAGTTAACAACTGGCAAAAACACCAGTCTGCTCATTAGTTTTTTCTTTTCTTCCCTTTCATCGTCTTTTTTGATTAGGGACAAACGGGAATCTAGAGGTAAATATTGGCAAAACTCTATAGTGGACAGATGATTATGATTATGATCTCTTCATGATGTACCCCAAAATTATGCCAAGCAAACCAACGCAGATAACAAACACGAATGACACACCAACACGGTTTTTGTTGCCTGCACGCCTCAGCAGTTCCTGCACATTTTAATCTCTTCATATAAGCAATTTTCATGGTTCAAAGTTCATGAGATTACAATCAAAAGTATACAAGACAAAGGATTGAAAAGATAAGCATTTTGTGGAAGCAAAAAACTTGCCACTTCCTAGAAACTGTCCCAAGAGGACAAAATTAAATAGCCACTCTCCAGCAGACTTAGATGTTAAGGTCATCAATGCACAAGTAGGGATAGCCCAGAACAAAAAATTGATCAAAAGGTTAAGTGTGCCTCGAATAGGAATATAAAAGGAGAAACTAAAACTAGGGAATATGCAAACATTTTCCAGAAAGCACAGGAAGAAAAAAATATATTAAAGAAATAGAGAAATCAAGAGAGTTGCATTTTCAAAAATTCAGCTACAGTGAGAAGCAACAGAATATATGGACTGAAAACAAAAGAAAATCAAGAAAAAATCCAGAAACATGACACCTGTGCTTCAAATTTATCACGTCTATAACAATGGGTAGCACACAAGGCATCAGACTTTGCCATCTTCAAACTCAAATGTGCTCCCGGTATGCCAAACTCAATTTTCTATTCACAAATTGACAGATTTTCATTCATGAGGATATCATCCTCAAAATTTACAAAACAGTAATACTTAACTCATCACATAGTACACCATTATTTCACCTATCTTCATGGTTTTGCTGATGCAAACTCAAATGTACAAATATATGTTCGATAACGTAGTAAGCCATCAAAAGAACACATATAAAAGCGTACTTCTCCATCTGAAGGTTTTTAAAATCTACTTACAACTTAGGAGATGCACAAAAACAAGAAAATGCAGGCAAGAGTAAAAGTAATAAGTCTAAACTACAAAGATGAAATCAAATGCCAATCCCTCACCAGTTCCTGACGAAGCTTGTTATTTTGTTGAATTGCATTATTTTTTTCCTCGGTCAGTTTTGAAATAAGAGCTCTTGCCTGAAATTTACAAATTACTGTCAGGAGTAATATAATTACCACTTCATAAACTCTTTTAGTACAACATGGTACAAATGTATATTACATGGTGCTAAAAGAGCTTGCTGTATAAGCAAGTAAATGTGCGCAACAAGAAAAGAAAATGTCTCAACATTAAAAGATTAAAGGAAACTGCTGCTGCACTTTACTATTATAAACAAAAAACAAATCAACATTAAGGATAACACACCCAAGCTAAAGAGATGACCTCTGACTTTTCAGTTTGTAATTAAGCTACTCAAATGAGCGCAAGAAGAATTCCCTAGTGCAGATACCATAATATGGTGTTTATCATTGCAAAAGAAAAGATGAAGAACCAAAACTTATTCTAATACACTTACTCTTATAAAAACAATACAAATCAACATTAAGGATAAGAGACACAAATTAAAGAAATGGCCTCTGATATTTCAATTATTAATTAAGCTACATATATGAGTGCAAAAAGAATTCCCAGTGCTGATACCATGTTAGGGGTTTCACCATCATTTAATAAAAAAATTATGAAGAACTAAAACTCAGTCTGATAGCAAGCACCAAACAAGGGGGTTTAGCATTTGAAACTAACAAGTTTTTGATAGGACCACCTGCAAATCAATTCAACACAGCCAAAAACAAGAACAAACGCTGGACAAACTATTCTGTATAATCTTCAATCTGTATATTAATCAGACAATATGTAATTGACAATTGGAAGAAAAATGAAATAAGAACAGTAGCCGGATAATCCTAGCATTACGAGGAGCCAGGGACCTCCATTGTTTACTCTCAAAAATATGCTTAACCTCTGCTGCTAAATCTCAACAATATATATACTAAGTTTTCCCGTAACTACCCCTCACTCACACAATTCTCACTCCCACAATACTCACACCCACATCACACGTGCAGACACGTGGATCCTACCCCTTAACAACTATCCTCAATGCCTATTACGTCCCTTAAGTGTGTACACCTTATGCACAGCAGGCCTATCAGTTTTCTAATAGAACAGCCAATAAAATTGACATCAGTTATGATATATCCATCATGGCTATGAGACTCATCAATTATGAGAAGAAAAGGCGATCTTCTAACAACAGAGAAAAACCCAGTCAGATGCACTTTAATCTCAAACACTAGACTTAAACTGTATGTTCTTGTAGATGAATGTGGTTTAGTCTACTACATAAAGTCATTCACTAGTAATGTATCCATCTTGATAGAACAGCATAAGGTTTTTTCCTCCCCATAAAGGCAAACAAAGTACATATATCAACTCTTGGAAATATGCAAATCATACTAGAAGCAATACAAAACCCAAATGTATCATTATCAAAGCTATCTAGCAAAATGTGAACAAGCACATGGGAATGAATTTTCAACTTTACCTCTACAGTTCTATCATGAGTTTCAAGCCGCTCACTAAATGCTTTGGTAGCCTATATTCACCACGAAAAAAGCATGCTGTCAGTTTCTATAATTAATAGCAAATAAAGTTTTAAAACAAACATATAAAAAAGACAACTGAAGTACTCACATTAACAAACTCAGATCCATTCACATGTCCATTGTCCGATCCAGAACCCCTTGGCGAAGAACCTTCTTCTGATCCTTCAGGAACAGGGGATGGTGGCTGAGGCGGAGAAACATAAACCACTCTCAATTTGCACTCTTCAACCACATGCCCTGCCTCCTTATTGAACTACAAAACCCACTTGCATAAATGATAAGTTTCAAAGTATGACCAAACAAATTATATTAGCATAACATCATCTCAATATAATTACCATTTCCGCATTAATATCCTTAGCTGTTGCACCATCATTTGTTTTTACACTCTGAAGAAGGAACTTATCCTTGCATTGCATGTCAGTAGGTGCCTCTTTTTGGGCTTGCATAGTAACTAAATTAAAACCAAATATTCACAACTTGTCACTGAATGATGAAATTACAAAAACTAATAAACATATAAACAAAACGAAAGATGCCCACCAATAATATCACATGTTGACCGAGGCAGGACGATCCCGGTATTTGGACGCACACAATACTTCTTCGGATTTGTTGTTTTCACCTGTACAAAATCAATAGGGCGTTTAGATAGGCTAAATCTACATTCTAATTCAGCCATTGATTTGGTGGCCAAAAAAACTGAAAGATTCAACCTAATTTCAAATTGAATATATGATCTTACACTTAATTCTATTCTAATTAGAAGCAAAACATAAATTCACCTCATCAAAGACAAAATCAAATATGCACAATTAAGAAATTGCGAAATGTAAGATTCACGATTTATAATTCTAATTTGTTACATTTTTAACCCAGCAACAAAAGAGATGTTATTTTTATAAGGTGCAAAATTAACAGAGAAAATAATAAATCGTACCTTGAAAGCAACATAATTATCGGTTTTATTGGACAATTGAAGTGAACAAGAGATCTGCTTCTTAAGCTCAACTAAAGACGACAAGATAAAAAAAAAAAATGACAAAAAGGAACAAATAAAACCCTAAAAAAGGAAAAGAGAAACAGATCGAGAAGGAAAACATACAAGGAAACTTGAGCTCAAGAGGCTCGATGCTGAGAAGCTCTCCCGTGCTCATTATAAATCAATAATGTCGTGATTAGAAAGTGAAGATCCGGAAAGATGTGATAGGGGGCGAATCTGTGTTTTATTGAGTTGAGAAAACTTGTATTTGAAAAGAAGATTGGGCGGAGAGATCGAAGATGCGATATAGGGAGTAAGGAAAACAATAAATGATGGAAAGGTACTTGTTGTTTGTGTTGGAGAAAAATGGATTTAAGCAAGAGAGAGAGAGAGAGAGAGACAAGTGATTGTGATTAGCTGAACGTTCGAAGAAGATTGAAAGCGGATCACTTGCGCAAATATATGCATTCTACTCGCTCCTTTTATGTTTCGCAAAATTAAATTATTAGCTACAATTAAACGGCCACGTGTGAGAAACCTTTTTTATTTTTTTCTACTTCTGAAAATTTTATTAAATACATTAGCAAACTATCTATATTGTTTTGAGATTATACTTTTATTTTGCCAAAACTTTGGAATAAGATTATTTATTTGTTGAGTCCCAAAATTGGGTTATTTAATATAATTTTCTTCTATGTTTCAATGCAATTTTCTCTTCTGATTTTTGGACTTAATTATCAAGTAGATGATAGATTATAATCAACACTATCTTCCTTCCATGTACAAAGATTCAAACACCTAAATTCATGCTCATCAAATTTATTAAAGAAAAGATAAATAAAATAGCCTTACTGATAATTTGATTTATTAATCCTCATGTCAATTCTGTAGTTATTCCATCGTTTTCTTTGACTTTCCCCACTAAAATGGAATGCCTTGTAAATTATACATTGAACAGTTGGCCATACAAGTAGAAACAAATTAGCATGGTTTACTCGAAACCAAATATATAAAAGCAGTTGAAGTGCCTCAGCAAAACCATCAGAATCTGCTGTAAACCTCCTCAATACAGCTTTCAGTAAAAACAGTGATGAGAACGCTTATTTCAAATTTTCACTTTTTCTACATGCTGCAAAGTTTTTTTGAAGACCTATTAAAGAGGAAAAAAAAGAAAAGATGAGAAAATTAATAATAATAATAACAATCTGATAAGATTGTGAGAAATGAATATAGATAGTTTAAGACTCACACTTTTGGTGTCCTCAATTGCAGCTTCCAGTTTCCGAAATGTCTGTCATGCATAACTTGTCAATAACAGTTTAAGATTAGGTTTTAAACAGTTTGAATCAGAGTCTTAATATTAGGCAACTGACTGACCATCTTGGTGTCCTCGAATGCTCTTTCTAATGCCTGGATCTTCTCTAATGCAAGCTCATTAATATCTGATGTTTCTCCACTTTCTGAATCTTCTTCATTCTGCACAGTACCCTGCATTGTGTTATAATTTATACATGGAGCCTTTAACTCCACCAAGTTACTTTTTCTTCTCACAGATAAGGTTGACTAGGATATTCTAACACTGAACAATTTTATATGTTTGTCATAACAGTATTCAACAAAATTATAAATCCACTGGCACATTGGACATTGCTTACATTTATGCATTTGACATAAAATACAACCAACAACTAGTTAAAAAACATCAAATCTGATTATATAAGAAGGAAGACACCTAACATTCGCATTGCAAACTACTCTAGTTAACCCAAAGCAACCTAATTTTTAAGTATAGTTGTCATCTGAGTCAGGCTTTTTCAATATACTACAAACCATAGTTTTCTCCCCAAACACATAACGAAGTAGTGCAGTTAAAAGCACCAAATCTTGCAAATAAGGGATTCCATGTTATTGTACTCTAAACATCTTCCGAATACTTGGACAGAAGATATCACCAGGACCAACTTTTTAAGACATCATGCAGACTTACGAGAGACATTTTGAAATGGTTGGCTTAATGCCCTTGTGATCCAAACCCAGTACACTACATGTTCTGTTGATGGCCTGAGCTGAACTCTTGTTGAAAATCCAGTATTATATTGAAAAAAGGTTGAATACGTTGATCAAATTTTTGGGTTGTGAAATCCCCCTGGCATCTTTAAGAGGACAACTAAAATCCCTAATTTCAAGTTTATCATAATGTATTTGTAAAATTGAGCCAGAAAGCTCTTGGGAGTCAGTTGATAAGGTCTACCAGTGTATGTGTACCAAAAAGCGTTTCTCACCGTATGATTCGACAAAGCATCTCCAAAAGGCTCATCATTGTCTCCTCCATAATTTTCCATATCTTCTGTTGTGGAGACTGCCTGCACTACAGGTGAAAAGTCCATATCAATTAAGGTGATACAGAACATAACATGTTGGGCATTATTCATTTAAAGTCCTCAATCCCTGACACCAGTCAATAATATCTTGAATAAACTGGGAAATTGACCTCAAGAATTTCTGTAATTTCTGGATTATTCCAGGGGCCTTTGTCACTTAACAGGCAACCACCATAATCAGAACATGTGCAGTTTCCACCCAGAATACGTGGCAAATTACTGCAGGTTTGCAAAATATCTTTTAGTTGCCCCAATATTTTTCAGCAGAAACATGTAATTTAAATACACAAGCAATAATGTATTCAAATTCATGCAAACAAATAGAAATGCACTAAACATGTTACCTTGGATCAATAAGTTCAAGCAGGTTACTGAGGTAGTTGTGTCCCAACACCTGAAATTTAATAAACCCATATGGTCAAAGACTCAAAATAAACACTGCACTATTGAGGAGAAACCACAAGTACATGTAGTATTTCTCTTCCTACCATACATGAAATTTGTAGATTGATAAGAATCCTTACATGAATCTTTGCTAATGTGCGTACATCCAGAAAGGCCTTGATTACTTTCCATAGCATCCTGAACCCAGACCCAGCATTGATTATGAAGAGACAGTGTAAAGTCTGTGAAAAGTTCAATGGCCAAATTTATGAATTAATAAAGGTGTCATAGCCTGATATGCCATCATCTTCACTTCATGCTTATACATAAACAGAGGTAATAGTTGGCCTGTCCTCGGACCATTTTCATCAAAGAAGAGTAAACATTAGATCTCTGCTTCCGCAATTTAATTTTATGTGAAGTGAAATGATAAGGACTCACACTTAAAACTGATTGGAAACCTAGGAAAATGAAAATACACTATTTCTCCATTAATTAACATTCTAATAAATATTGTAAATGTTGTTTACTTCAAATTTTATTTCATTGATCACCCTTTGTATTAATATAGGATGGAGTTATCTACGGCACTATCATATGTACTTTATAACTTCCTAAGTTGATACAATATCAATCAAGGCTTTTGTTTTTCTGTTAATCTTTCTATCAATCAATGGGTTATTTCGCTACTCAATTGCAAGCACAGGAAAACAAAATATTTCTCTTTTTTTCCTCAAACACTACCATTTATTGTCTTAGCCTGTTAAAGAAGATCTAGATAGTTCTAAGTCAAACTAGTTTGTAGTTAGTATAGCATAATATGCTCTGATACAATGACAATCTGTGAAATAGTTTAAGCTTCAATAAGTAATATTATCTATAACTGGCAGTTTGTTTACTACCAAAAGCAACACTGCCCCCTTATCCAAATGAGCTAAAAGACCTTTTGAGGTTGATGTATAAATTGACCAAGAATAATGAAATTCACTGTCCTAATTATTGTGCATGAGAAGCATCAATCCTGCTCTGCCCCGACAGCTATTGGTTAATCAACAGCCACTTCTTTCCTTGCACCCTTGGTTCTGACTCACAAATGAACCATTTAACCATCTACTTGTTCATAGATTATTCAAAGTGAAAGAGATGACATTCACTTACCTCTGGGTAATAATTGCTATCAATCCTTTGAATTTCCATAAAGAGCTGTCTTGCAGGCTTTGAGAAATTAGACATTCCCTAGGTCAAGATAGTACTTAAATTTAGAATTTACTACAAAAAGAAGTTCTATATAAAATAAATTTATAGCTAATTTACACTCTGAACCAATATAGTCTTACAGAGCATAAATCAATCAAAACTAAAGACAAATGAAGTACTTCTACTATCAAGTCTTTAGAGAGGATGTAAACAGATACTTTTAGCTTGAAGCCTTAAATCACCACTAGAAAATAAGCCAAAGCACTTAAAGAATCACATCTCTGCTCCTAGATTTAAAAATACAGATTTCAAGTTCATGGATCAATCTTAACTTGGAGTTGAGTAATGTGATGATAAGTCATTAGTCACAACTTCAGACCCTAGAAGGCATATTTTTCATAAATCTAAAGTTGGAGCCCAAGGGGCAACTCTCAGGAATTATTTGTGGTAACAGACACAGTGCATATAGTTGTATAGGGTGTGTGATTATGGATATATTTCGTTCTCTGGGAATGAATTCAGTTCCACAAGGCATAGTGTAAAAGAAATGCTATAAGTGAAACTGCACTATTATCTTTGCTACAAGCCTACTGATTATTTTTGAATGAAAAGAATAAAAACAACATGATTCTCCATGAAAAGAGTTTGAAAGATGAAAAAGATGTAAATTGAAACTCACCACTTCCTTCACATCTAATATACTTGTGGTTGATGCTATATGCCTCTTGGCTGCAATTGAACATGCAGGATATCTCAAATTCAATGTTTTCTCTTTTTCAGACACATGATACTTAACAAATCTTTCAATTGTGGTTACTTGAAGCAAGGCATTTAGATCTACCATCCCAATCTGTTCAATATATATTGGTCTACCAAATTTATCAACTCCATGAAATCCATGAGGATAGCATTGCTTGACCTCCTTAAACTCCTCAAACTTAAATTCCTGCAGAATGTTCAAAACAAATGTATCATGCAAAAGAATACAGTAAACAGGTCCATGATTTCTCAGATGAAGTTCAACAGGACACAGTAAGGCACACATAAAATAAATGTATTTATGATGGTCAGTATATATGGCTTCAGATTATTCTAGAAAAGAAAATGGTGATTTTGACGCCGCTAAAAGTGGAATCCCAAATATCCACACGGAGCCACTTTTCAGAGAATTTGAAGAAAACGAAGAGTTGTTATCGATAAGCACTGTTAATTATCATATTCCAAGCATTTTTTTAAACCCCGTTTGGTACATATATAGACCAAATATGAATTCTGAACACAGCTTCATAATAGTTGTAAATTCATTTCAACAGTATTAACATAGTTCCAACTTCATGATACGAGCCTAGAATTCACCTTGGAAATTGAATCAACTCTAAAATCCTGGCGCCACTTGAGATAATTCAAGAACATCTCTCTTGATTTTGTAACATCAAAATCCCTCATTCGTAGAAATCTGAAACCACAGAAAAGTACTATTTTGTTATAAAGCCACCAAAAGCAACTAAATTTTGTAACTAAGAATTCAATTAAGAAATGAAAATTTTCCATATATCTCATAACTATAATCGACCTTACCGCAAAAGTGTATGATAGTCATTGTGCTTTGTTGTTAACTGGCCCTCAAGAAAGAGCAATTCGCGGAAAGAATTAACAATTTCTTCATCTTTTGGATCAGGAGTTCCTTGAAGGAGATTTTTCATGCTTTTGCTCCTCCCAAATCTCTTCAACGACTCTCGAACCTTCTTCGGATAAATTAGCAGTGTCTTGATGCCTGTCCTTGTTGATACACGATCCTTGTCTTGTTTTTCAGCAGGGAGAACCCAATGAGACTCAAGGGGTGGATGTATAGATTTAGTTTTCCCCCCAATATTTTTCTTTGGAGCTGGTTCCTCACCTTCTTCACTGCCCCTATGAATAATTATCTCCCTATCGTAATTCATATGTACTCAACTCAACTCTACTCAACAAAAGATTTAACAACCCTTAATTGCAGTAAGCAAAAAAAGTATCAAATGAAAATTCTAAAAATATGACAGTAATGTTTATATTCCTCTAATAGCATAATCTTTACAATCATCAAATTTTCTGCCGCCTCCCTTAAGCTGTCAAACAAAAAGCGGAATAAATCCGAACGAAGTTTCTGCAAAGTTTATGAAAAAGTTTCAGATAAACAGAAAATGAAAAAGTATCGATCTTGAGATAAATTGGCCAATCTTAAAGACTTAAACAAGTCAATCCGATGAATTGACTCACAAGAAAATAATGTGAAAAGAATGAAGCAAAGGTGAAGAATCGAATTTTAGAATAGATTTGATTCTTGGAAATGTTGAATCAACGGGTAACAAGAAACTCTGAAAAAAGAAAAAAGAAAAAGAAAAGTGAGTATGCAAACTCCATAGCCGCAACAACAGAAATGGTGGATTCAAAAGGAAGCTGTTAGTGTAGGAGTTTGAAGAGGAATTAAGGAATCAGGTTTTCTCCCGTGGCGGGAAAAGGGCGGGCCCAAGCCCTAACTGTGACCTCTGTTATTCTTTCGTGTTTAATATTTGTTAAACATATTTTTTAAGAAAAAATTTAAAAAAAAAAAGGAAGGGATGTGGTTGGGCTGTGTAAAGAATGGGAGAAAACTTTCATGGGCCTATTTGCTAATTAGAAGTTGGGGTGGTTCTAAATACCTCCAACTGGCCATCTATAACATGAAAGCCAGAATATTGTTTAGTTAATATCAACTTCATCTGATTTTTTGAATAAAATATGGTCAAAGATCACAATTCACAAACCTATAAAATCTTTCTTCCTCTTCCTCCAAGATGTGATTGTATTTACCATCAGTATTTTATTGTTTTTCTTCACAGGAAGATGATTCTTGGGACTATAATTTTCATTTAAATGAACATATCATCTTATATCCATCCAACTAAACAAAAAATGGACACAACAGACTTTTGGTTGGATTTCTAATATAAGAACCAAGTGTTTCGTTTTCAATTCATCACAGGAACAGAAAAAAGAAAGAACCATTTGTCTTTTTTCTTTTGTTTGTGAGGGAAATTATACTCGTTTCCAGTTGCCACATAAGAACAGGGCCCAAAAAGGGACACGAGTAACTGAATGTAATACGCACGGTAGAAGATAGACTGGGACATATCTGGGGAATGATAAAAGTATGGTGTTTAAAATTGCTCAGGATGTGGTTATGGCAAAGCGCATGAAGCAAATGGGAAAAAAAAAATTAATGTATAGTAAAGAACTTCTTTGAAAATTTTAAATATTATGTTTTTAATTTTATTGAAAATATGTATGTTAATAATTCTTGCTTTTAATAATTTTAGGGTTACATATACATGTATTGTTGGGGATAAAATGAGTCTAGCCCAAACTAGTGAAACCCTACACTGAGACCCTTTATAAATGGATCTGAGAATATCTTAATGAAGCTCAGCATCGAAACCCTACGACAGACACTAAATCGGTGTTTGGTTTTTCATATCTCTTTGTAGGAATTCGTTATTGTTAATGGCTCAATATCTCAATGATAATTTCAAGTAGATGTTATCATCTACAAATACCACTTCCATCTAATCTAATTTTTTTAATCAATCAACCACCATTCAATCAATTCCAATCAATAGTCAAAACAAACACAAACGGCAGATGATCAATTATATATCATTTTAAACAAGGGTTAAAATCCTATTACTAACTTACCATGGTAAAGTCATTATAACAAACTTAGGTATAGTTTAAAAGCACGTTTAATTATTGGGGATAAAGGTCCCAAGAGAAATATCATATATAATAATATATATACATATTAATGGTGTCGGAAAGCATAAAGTGGAACCCACACGTGTCGAATGGGGCCCACAAGAATAAACTTGGAGAAGAATCTTAAAGCACACGTATGGCGACAGCTGGCTGTATCCACACTCACAGACACCAAATTAGCTCTTCGGAAAATCGAACCAGTTGACGTCATCTCCTAACCTAAAACTTCTCGACAGCATCTTCGTCTTTTTCGCCACGTGTACATGTGGACCCCCACACTTCACTCTTCTCAATTTGATTACTTGGCTAGTCAAGCCAATAATAGAGTTGAAGAATACTTTTTTTTTATTAATAAAAAAGTTATATAACTAATTAATAAAAAAAAAAAGAGTAATAAATGTTTTTTTTAATTAATAAAAAAGGTTTAATAGATATTTGTTAATTAAGAATTACTCCTTTCATGAAGCCTCTCTTAATTATATTAAACCTCACCAAACAAAACATTAATATAATAGCTAAACTTAATGAAGTTATGTAGGTGAATTAGAGAATTTACTTTAAAAATGATTTTTTTATTTTTTTATTAAAATGGCACTCAGAAAAGAAATAATTAGAAATCCCCCAACCAAAACAATAATAGAGGTAGCTAAAAACAAGAGGGCTTTTGCATTGCATCGTTTAGGTGAAGCAAAACTACTTTCCGTTCCGCCTCTATCGACCGGTGCTTCCAAAATCGCTGACAAAAGCTCTCTCTATCATCACACGTTTATTGTATTAAAATCCTTGCCATCACCACCCTCTAAAGTTTAAACAACTAACCAAATAACCCTTATAATTATTAGAAATCATCCCTCATACCTCTCCATATTTCATAAAATCATCACATACCTTCTCTCACTACACGGACGTAGCCAGCAAATCCGTGAGGAGAGCCAATAAACGAACTAAATTAAATAAAATTAATTTATCAAAAATAAAAGTAATAAAATTACGAGTAAGAAAAGTCATTTATAGAGCACCTAACCTACTTTAGAACTTTGATTCGTTTTTCTTAAGTAAAAATTTAAATATCAAGCCTTTATATATTGAAAATTTAGTTTATAAGAACGCACATTAAGTTTTTATATAAATTTTAAAATCTCTTAAGTAAAATAAAGTAGTATAATCAATAATTTAAGTAAACTATAAAGTAATCAAGAAAATAAACTAGGTCTGTTTGATACATTATTTGAAATATAATATTCAAAATAATTATTCTATATAAGATAGGATAAGATTAAATTAAATAAGGTAGGATTATAAGAATGTGTTTATTACATTTTGTAAAACATTTTCTGAAAATACTTATATTTTTTTAACCATTTAGATTTGTTAATTTAGCTAATACTTCCCAACAATAAAAGTTTATAAATTAACAAAAACACTCATACCCCCTCAACCGATTGCCAACAGTCGGCCACCACCGGGCGATAATGGGCAATCGTCGGAATGGCGCATGACTAGCTGTATTTGGTTGATCATACGCCGATCTGATCTTTTCTAGCCAGATCTATCATGTATATGGTCGAAAACGACTAGATCTATAACCAAAATTTGGCAGTCAATTTCTAGCCATCGTTAATGGCCAAAATATGGTCGTCTTCAACGACCAAATAGATTTATCTGGCTGTCATTAAAGGCCAAAGTCTAATCGTCAATGACAGACAAATCTTTGACCGTAGATATGACTATTTCCGATAAGATCAGTGAATAATCAGTCAGATCTAATCGATCTTGCATTGTTTCGGTGGTTACTAGCAGCCAACAATGGCTTGGGTGGATAGGGGTATTATTATTAATTTATAAATTTTTATTGTGAAAGGTAATGGTATGCTTTAAGTTAAAAAGAAATATGATTGAATTTTGAATGAGAGCATGTGATTATGCGAATATTAGAACAAACATATACTTTTACTGTTTACATTAAATAAGATAGTAGAATAGTGTTTTAAAAAAGATTACCAAACAGAGGGAATAATTTTGTCAAATATGATGATGATTTTTCATTCTTTGTGGATTTTGTTAGAAAATTGAGGGTTTAAAAAACTAGAACGTTTAATACACGCATGCTGAGTTGAAGCACCAGCACATCAGTGATTAGGTAGATAGGGTCTACCTAAGGTGAACAGCTGGTTTGCATTGCAAGAGTGAGTCAGCCCGCCCAGCTCTGAGACTGACTCACTTTGGATTGTGTACATATATCTCCGCCCAATGCATCCCATTGGATGACAACAAAAAGTGAAAAAGACTATAATTATTTTTGTTTTTTTGTTGTGATTTGACGGTCATCAGTCATCACATCACTTTAATCCACATTAATTTTGTCATTCATTACTTCACAATTAAAACCCGCCTCCTAGTAGATGTGACAAAAAGTGTTGGTTCTGAACACTAAACAAAGAACAAGATTATATTTAAGGGATCGGATCAATTTGTTAAGTAATATCACTTTCTGGGTTCACGGCATATGACCCTCTATTTGCACAGAAATTTAAAACCTGATTCAGTAAATCGCGTCTCCAATCAACAATACAAAATTAAAATTACATTGGACGAAGAATCAGCTACGTACATGAATTTGAATAGTAATTAACTATGTATGAGGTCCCAGAAAGGATAAAGGATTCTTTCTGGGCCCTATATCCAACAGAACCTCATCATGGACAAATGGGAAATAATCCCCAATACAAAAATTTAAAATCTGTCTTTTAAGTTTTGCTTTGGTTACTATTTACTATCAGTAGAAAATTTATTCAAAAGAATCACAATATTTTACAATAGAATGTAAACATAGAAGTAGAACCATTGCCCACACTTCATTTTTTGCTTTAAATATCCACCTTATATTATACAGTATATGCAAGGCAAAGTGACATTATAGACATTTATATATACATCTTTTGTGGAGTTTTTATTTTTAAAGCAAAAAATGAAGTGCTCACTGAAACCAAACCATGAACTTACCACAAGTCAAAAACCAAAATGCAAATGCCCTGCGTATCTTAGTTTTTGTTCAAGTTTTCCCACAAAGATGCGCACTTCCTTCTAGCAAACCCAACCTTTCTCTTCTCCAAATCATAAACCACTTCAAACCCCTGTTGCTGATAATTCCCTAGAGTAGCCCCTGGCCCACCACTCAACTCCTTCTCGTCACCACCGTTCATCAACATCAAACACCCCACATTCCTCTTCTTCTCTGACCCATCTCCACCGTCCAAAAACTCGTAAAAATAATTCCTCCTCGGCAGCACCACACTCGACCCATTACCCACAAAATGCAACTTCACCATTGGCACATTCGCCACCTTCTCCAAGTAATAACACGGACTCAGCCCCGTCTTTTCCTCGATGCCGCTAGCCCTCTCATGACTCCCTCCAACTCGACGATCAAATTCAGCCACTACTGAGTCATATAGACTCTTCGGCAACATAGTAAAAGTCGTCCCTGAATCCACCACCATCCCTCCATTTCCCTTCCTGTCAACTCTTTTTAAAAACCCAGGAGACGGAATATTCTTTTTCCCAACCGAGATTCCGTCCAGCCCAACGGAATAAAAATATGGATGTTTCGGATTATCCAACATTTCAGTATACACAAACTCAGTTTCGTCCCCGTTTATAACTTTCTCTTTATCTTCATAGCGGCCAAGAATGAGCGGACTTGGAAGACGGGTTTTGTCAGAATCAAACGAGTGAGAGACGAGACAGTAAGAAAATCTGTTGCCCAGTTGAGGAGATAAAGAAGAAAGCTGAGCTGGAAATGAGAGTACACCGCGACCAAAACCGGCAACACCAACGGGTTCCGCCAGAGTGGTGTGGGCGCAACCGAAGGCGAAGTTAGAAAGAACCAAAGACTTCTGTGAAGAGACTGGCATGGATAAAGAATCTTTATAGAGTGTGGCAATCAAGCTGCCATCTCCATAAGCATAATAAAGAGGGGGGCAAGAGAAAGATTTACAATCAGAAGTTTCAATGGAGTCGAGGGGGCATTTAGCAATAGCGCATAAACTTGAAGTGGGGAGAGAAGAGTGAGCTGCAGAACAAACAGGGGATTGACAAGAGAGGGTCGAGGCGGTGGAGGAAATGGTTAAAGGTTGAGCCTTTTCGGGTTTCGACTCACAGAGAATGCATTCGAAAGGGTGGCAAGGGAGCCAGACGAAGTCGGAGCCGGTATCGAGGTAGAGAGAAACAGAGGAGTTGGAGTTGCCAAGAGAGAAGGAAAGAGTGTAATCACTGCCAGGCGAGAGAGGGAGAGAGACTTGTTGGTGGCGATGGTGGTGGCTGTGGAAGCGGGTGGCGGAGCGGGTAGTGGTGGATTTGAGGAGGTGGTGGATGGAGGTGAATTGGGCTTTGGAAAGGGAGTGGGTTAGAGGTAGAAGAACAACTTGGGATGATGATGCAGGGAAGAGTGATGATATCAGAACTAATAAGTTAAACATAAAAATGGAAGTAGCCATGAATTCAGAGTGAGAAAGAGAGAAAAGTTTGAAGTTTGTTGAGGGAGGAGTGGGGAGTGTATAAGAAGATGATGGGGGGAAGCTTCCGGTGGTGAATTGTTGGACAACTTGGTGGGATTAATAAGGCTTTTAATTAGTGATATTAAACCAATGTTTATCTGCTTAATTAAGTTGGTGAATTAATAATAATCATAAGAGTTAACAACTGTGAAGGTGGCTGTTAATTCTTGAAACAAACGTTAAATACTACTGTGCTGGGTTAGCTACTGGATAGTTTGAGGAATGTCACTTATGTAAATTTCTTTTAATTTAAATTTGTCTCTCCAAAAAGGTGCTCAAGGTGGGACTCAAATTTAAAATCTGAATTGATATTTTCAAATTGAAGGGAAAGGAATCTATGGTTTTCTTGTTATTTTAGATTAGCTAAGAGCTACTTTGCTTGCAATATTTATGGGTAATGGCAGTTCGTCATTCAGTGAAGTCCCATACGGAGTCTTGCTGCCTTGTAAAAAGGATTTTATTTTAATGAATCAAATAAGGTGGCTGTGGGTTAATATTTTTTAAATGGGGTAGAATATTATGTAAGCAGTAGAGTAGAAATGATAAATAAATAAAACTTAAAAAGTCAAAAAGTAAAGGCAAGCTGAAGCACTAAGTTAGCTTATGGAAGTCAAATTCGAGAGACATTGGTAGTACTACTAACGAGTAAGTGGACTACAAATTAATATCCAATTTTCTATTGGGTCCCTTCCTTGCAACTAAGTGTGGACTGAAGAACTTAACCCATGAAACAGAGAATTTCTTCTGCTGTCAAACTGGAACTCCTATTCATGCAGTAATATAAACCAGTATCTATACCTAAATTGAATGTAAAGTTACTTCTAGAAAACTTTTGATTTTTGATTTTACTTCTTTCTGAGTAAGAAACCGAAGGCATCGACTTAATACTTTGAAAACAATTCATAGAGTAGAACTAGCATTTTAAACTATTTAACAAATAAGGAGACTTAAACAAAAAAATTGTACAAAGAAGTGGTCAGATTTTGTTTATGGCAACAAGAAAGATGGGACCTAAACTTGAGGAAGGGTCCCTTGACATAAATCATAGGTCAACATGTCAAACTCCATTGCCCTAAGCAACATTAGTGCATGTACCTTACTCGATCGCAACGATGGTCCATTGAATCCACCCACCTAATATTGTCCCCTTCACAATCCTTTAATATCTATAGATTTCGCCTAAAATATTTTTGCACTATTACCGAATCTAAAGACGCATGTGTGTGATTTAACCAGGAAACTAAAAAGTGAAAGATCCACTCACATAGATTTTAGATTTAGTTAAGGTCATAAAAAGATTCATATCCATTTCATGAAAAAAAAAAAAAAAATCATTCAAAAACATGTCTCACATTGTCGTCTATAATTTTATGATTTTTAATTTTAAAACTCGTTAAAGAATAATTTTTGAAAATTGCTTTTCAAGTATTGGCTCAAATCTCCTCTCATACGAGAGCACAGCAGTCTTGAGAAAGACATTTTTTGGTTCAATAAAAGATACATGAAGCATTAAATGCCAGCTAATCCAATACAAACAAAATTGAAACACGTGGCACTTGAGTTGGCCTAAATAGCAGACTAATGTATCAATCTATTCTGGGTCCATGCAGAGTATGCCCAAGGATTAGACTCTCGTGAGCTGACACTACTTACGAACCACCAATGACTCTCGACTGTGATTTTATAAACGATAGCCTCACGGTTTTACTCAACTCAGTGTCAAATAAAATATTATTGATATAATTATAATAACAAAAAAATTATTCTTCTTCCTCTACTTTAATTTCAAGCATTATATTGTAATTACCAAAAAATTAAATAAAATTAAAATTGTTTATTTCACAAGAAAATTGAAGCTCATGATAATGATCAAAATTATTAATATTTCTTTGTTGAGGCATGAATTAATTTTTAGATCTGAATATCCTTCTACACCTAAAGGCTAAATTAAACACAACTACTATTTGATCATCTATTGGAGAGTTCTTCATTCGTCTTTTATTCTTTTTTTTTTTTTTTCTATGTTTTATATTTGAGAAATCTACTTCAGATTATATCGTTTAAATGAAAAACTGATCATATAACCAAAAAAATTACTATAATTTTAATCAACAATTGTTTATATTAGGTTTTTAAAGTATTTTATATTTAAAATTTATATAAAAAATATTTCAGATATAGAGCAAAATAATGAACACCTTTATAAATTTTTTCCAAACTTTTTAAATATTTAAATGAATCATTGTTGATTTTTTTTAAATACTATTATACCCCTATGTAAGGTAGAAAATGGGGGCTAAAAAGAAAAAAAAATATGGGGTTTAAAAATCATTCCCCAAAAACATTAACAAATAAAAGAACCGGAAGATTAGAAAGCAATAATTTTCTTAACAACTATTTTAAACAAACCCATAGCTCAACAACTTTTTTTTTTTTTTTTGAAAAAAAAAAAGGGTAAAACAAATAATTATAATTTTGTATGCAAAAACACTTCAAGATTGAAAATACCAAAGATTTTACCTCCATATATCCATTGCTCGAATATGAAAAAGTTCCATAAATGGACAAAAGGGTAATCAAAGAACACTAACAAAATTGAAATTTTCTTTCCATTGATGCAAGCTAAGGGTGTCATCATTGGATGGTCCAGTCTTGACTATCTTCAACCAAACAAACAAGTAATCATCTGTCATTTTTTAAAACAGAAAAAAACAATACATTATTGTTCGTTCAAAATTCAAAGTTCAAACGTATAATATAGCTGTACTTGCGAGCGCACTACCATTAAAAAGATCATGTTCGACGAACACGTCTTTCTAATTTCTATCAACCATAACCTATGGTTTTTATGTAAATCATGGACGATATATTATATAAAATAAAGAAAAGTCCATGATGTCTAATTGTCTACGTCCTACTCTAGTCCCTTTCATATTATTGTAAGGGCCAGCTACAAGGGATCACCGAACTTCCCCAATAGTTATACCAAAAAGATATTTTATATTCTACTTAAGCTTATACCACTTGATTTTGAGAAGAATTTACTTTAAATTAACTAGAGAACCACTTTCTGGTCACCAGAACCATAAAACTTTAATATTGGTATCACGCAACACATACAGAAACCCAAATTGGCAAATTGCTATACCCACTGGTTTGGCAAATTGGCAATTATTTACCTAATGGAAGACACCTATCTCTGAAATGCGACGTTTTTGTCACCTTCTGTCCGGTAGAACTAACAAACCGACAGTTCATTGTCCCAGCCCAGCAGCCAAACAAAAGATGTTCGATAAATCAAATCTTTTTTCGAGTGGATTCGTTCAAAACTTGAGACTACCTAGGTGATATAATAACTACGTGGACCATAATTGTTAAGTCAAACTTCTTAAATGCTCTAATAAGAGTTCAAAAACGACAGTTCTGTCTGAATATATTCATTATGCACAACTACAAACATTTCTTTTCATTTTACTAACCCATTTCATTTTAAAAAATGACAGTCGTCCTATGCTTGGCGCTAGAACTTTCATCATATCTTAGGATCGCAATTAAGAGCCACCTCTTTCCCCCTTAAGTCTTTGTCTTCCAGCCTCTCTAAAGCTGGCAACATAGGGGCGAGGTTCATTGAATCTAAAATAATATTATCCTACATAAATCCTCAAGCCGATGCGTGCAAATGCTTGTGTATATTCACGTCCCCTAAAATCACTTGCCTGTGCAATGCTTCATCTTCTTATCCATCCATCTTACAAAACCAAGGATGAATCACCTATATCTCCTTTTTCACCAACTCAATAACTGACCAAAGTTACTAGCTAGTAGCAAGAATGGTGACATAAGTGCATAACAGTACCAAACTATAAACAAGATCACTTTTAAGGCTATGCAAGCTGTCTTCAATCTCATAGCACAAGTAACATGTGAGTAGACTCATTTCAAGTTAGGACTACAGACCTCCTATAATGGCATTTCTATCTACTTAAAAGGTAATACAGCCTGATCATCTACTTTCCTATCACCTGAAATGAGCTCAGCAGAATTAATCAACAACAACGAAAACTACAAGAGTACATTGACTTGAATACTACAACATAGTTAGAATTGAACAGAGTGTTATATCTACCCTAATCCTACCTAACAGAAACTTAATCTTTGGATCCAAAATTTCCATTGGAAGTTTAGGCAATTGCCTCTCCAGGTTCCAATGGGCAGCATCATACATTTAAATCATGTCAGTCCCCATCATCCAAACAATTTACTAGGAAGGTAACAACACAAATCCATCCATTTCCAAGGGAAAAATTAAATGCAACGGTTGAGAGCAGCATAGGCCTCTTTCTCACATTCTACACAGAGTCTTATCCATAAATTGGAATACTTTTCTAGTAATGATCATAAAACTTTTGCTGAGCCGGTATCTTTCCAAAGGCATGCCACACCATCATCAAACTACTTAAAAAGTGATGAGACTGGAACTTCAAAAGTTCTATGTTGGTCTTACAAAAACAGTTGAGGGTAAGGGTCATATTTGATATATATGGTCTGAACTAAAAAAGTAAACAGGATAATGAGAAGGTAGAGATGACATCTGTAGGTTCATAATACGGAAATCATAATAATGTCATTTCAGATAAATCTTACTTTCTCATTGTTTCTTTCTTGGTATTTATAACTATGTAAATTCCAGTTTCAACTCTGATAAAAGAGTGGAAAAATATAGAGAACAAATACAATTTGAACTATAACTTTTAGCATTTAAGAACTTATAAATAAATTGAATATAATTAACTAATCTCTGACTTTTGAATGATGAATGAAGTACATCAGTAGAAACTTGAATGGTAAAGTGACTGACTAAATCAATGAATTTGATACTATTTGTCAAAGTTATCAGGACGGCTCAATGGCCATATCATTATGGCATTCGGTCCATCTAAATAGTGAAGTTCCATCCAAAAGAAAGATCATAGATGCTGAAATAGACAAAACACCATGGCCTAACCATTATACAGTTAACTCTTTTCATCAAATGTTCCAAGACTGAATTTCATACTGTATAATGGCCTAACCATTATACAGTTAACTGAATTTCATATACTTCCTAATCTAGATTCTATCATAAGAAAGAACCTATGCATGAACACAAGAAAGCACGGGAAAAGATAAAACTAGAACCAATGCCTACCAAAATGAGGCTCTTTTTCATCATTTCTTATGACTGATTAAATGGAATCTTTCCTAAAATTGTATTCAAGGGGCTTCCAGAAAACTGGAAAATACAGTAAATAAGGAAAGGAGAAGCTCCCCTTATTATTTTTCCTAAAAATTCCAGAAAACTCTTACAGTATCTATCCTATTTGCCCAAAAGGAAAAATGGATGTGAAAAAGAATCTTCCCAAATCCCAATCCAGTACCTCTTAATAGGGCCAGCTCTATACATCCAAAAGAAAGCCTCATGGATCACCAAAGTGGGTCAAGTTAACTACTCCAATCTCTAGTGGACATGTGTTAGCAATGGTTTGCTTTCCTCACATGCACCTTACACATGTTCTAACAATATCAAGTATTGTTACCTGAAACAGGAGAACCAGTGGAGAGTGCTGATTATACCAACAAAACTGAAACATCATGACCAAAGATTCTTAGGTGTCAACCGCACCCTGCACACATAATTCACCACAATAAAGAATTTGATGAACATGTGCAAATTACAGAATTCACTAAAGTTTATTAGGGAACGAGTTAGCATAACAACAACAAATCGGAAAGAGTTAGCATAACAACAACAAATCATAAGATAACTTACAATTTCTTTTTAAAATAAAGTTTAATACAATAATAATAAAACTATAGGACAACCACACCTAAGAAGATATTGGGGAAAAGGGCTTTATCTTCTCCAGCAACTTCTCAGCTTCAATGAACCCACCTAATGGCCCCAGAGACAAGTATTTTAAATGTTTCCATCTGTACAAAGCTCTTCCAGAATTAAATAGGTACTTTTGCATCAATGGAAATTTCCAAAGTATTGATGGATCATAAAATTGAAACTAAAGCAAATAGAGACTCCAACCAAAATACTTGCCTTGGTTTGAAGGGTAGAGCCAAACAATGGAGGTGAAGATGGTCAACACTGTTCATTGGAGGTTGATGAAATCCGAATCTGTCAGAAGGGCAAAGGATCACACAATCTAAGATGTTTTCTCCTAACCGAATTTGTGTGACCAAAATACTTCAAAATAAACAAACACAGCATCAAGTTGCCCCAAATTTACAAGTTTAAAATTTAAATCAGACACTTCATTTATTGTGAACAACTTTCTAGCATTCGCAACCTAACTTAAACTAAATCACCCCAAGAGCATAAAAACCCAAGGAGTCGTTCATTAATGTAGTCCAAATTACAACCAAACATATGCAAAATTTTATCACCCTCATCATCCAAATTCTTCATTAAAATATCAGCACTACCATACAGTTTTTTTTTTTTTTTTTTGTTCAAAGAAAATAATAACAGGAGCAAACTATAAAGGATAGAGCATCAAACAAACAAATAAAGAAACGTAAAATTAATAACCAATACTTCTCAATAACCTTTACAATTTTCTGAAAATGAAATTAATACAATAAATGATGGGTGTCACAGCCAATTCAAATTCGGTGAACATTGTGATCCTGGCATGCAAACAGTAAGAAAGAGAAAGAAGAGTGCTTATTCATAAAGCACGCAAGCTCTGGCATATCTCCTCTATTTTGTTTTGTGACAAGATCACAATGAAGCCCATATAACCAAAACAGGGGAAGTGGACTGAATATGAAGCTGGAATGACATAACACACTCATAGCCAGAAAATTATTGCACTCATGACATAATGCAACTACAAGCAAAAATATTTTGAGTGAAAGGCAACGGAATCAGCAAGGACAATATATTAACTACAATTTTATATGATCTTCTATGACTTCAAATAAAAACATTTAAAATCTAGAAAAGCATGACAGTGGAGTGCTCCAATATTTATTGGAACCAATTTAAGAGACTAAAAGCTTCTTTGAATCAATCTTATTATGCACGAAATAAATTTAGACGCATAATAAGCCGTATTTTCATATAAGAGATGCAATACCTGTACTGTTCGGACTGAGGTGCATCCTGGCGTAACAAAGTTTGACCCACATTTAACATGTGACTTACTTGAAGAATTGCAAATAGAAGGTTAGCCACATAAAGAATATTACAGGGAAAAATAACTCACATATTAAACACAATTTTCTTTACCCAGTGAGTAGTCTTCATGTCTCCTCTGTAGATCTTTGACAGTTGGAATGTGCTCCACAGGAATAACCAAGTAATGTCTACAATGTTTCCGTGAAGATACAAAATGTGATTTCAGTGAAGACGTAAAAGAAATGAAATGTAATTGTAAAACTTTCAAGTATGTTTCATTGCCAGGTGTTATTAATATATTGAAGAAACCGTAGTGAATGACAGACAATTGTTAAAATGTGAATTTACCAATGTTAACCATGCTTGATGTAATTATCAAATCCATCAAGTCCAGACATAAATAATGATCAAAAAGGACAAAGATAGAAAGCTATACAGATTAATAGGTAAAAATTGAAAACAGATCAAATATAAACTCAATTCAAATATTGAACAAATCTAATTAAAAACTGGAAAGGAGTAAGAATTACTGAAACCTGAAAGCAGAAGGATTGATGTCTCGAAATGCAACGACCTTGTCGTCCTGCAGGACGTAGTAAAATGAAGGTACCTACAATTACGATTGATTGCTGCTAGGATATGCTCGTTAATGAATAAAATTGAAGAAAGAAAGCGAAGCTTACCGAGTGCAGGAGAGTGGTGGACGTGGAATTGCGGGCAATCTGACAGAAGATGCATGGTGTGGGTGAGATTGCTCCTGCCATTTGCCCTAATTAGAGACATCAAATTCAACGCCATCTCTGATTTGTTTTAAAAATATGTACTAGCAATAATAAGGAAACTAAGCTGAAGCCGATTTGGAAGGGAAAACAAAAATAAAATAAAATTACAAATAACCCCTCAGGTTCGGCCTATAAAAATTCCCTTGTAGTATTGGAAATAACAGATATCCCCCTGATGTGAGACCACCTTACTATTATGTTAAATCATCGGAAGGCATATGTCACAACCACACAAATTTTTAATTATTTTTAATTTTTAATATTATAATATAATTTGTATGGTTGTAGCATATGCCATGTCATAATGTTTACAAAATGGTGTAAGTGTAGCATTACTCTAAATCAAACGATTCAGGGGCACAAACATCTTTGTATATGATTTATTATTACAAAAAAAAAAATTGTCAACTAGCACGTGTAGGACACTTGTCAGCTTGAGGGACTGTTTGGTTCAGAGAATATTATATTACTAAAAATATAATATTACAATAAGATAGATTAACTTGAAGATTAAGGTGAATATTTTATAATATAATAATTAATATGTTTGGTTGAGACTTGAGATGAATACCCTTTTACTAAATTGCTCCTTTTAAAAATATTATTTTATTATTTAGATTATTACTATTAACCCCTTAAAATTTTAGAATTTTGCTAAAATACTCCAACCTCAGTAGAAGTTTAAAATATAATAAAATACCCCCAGTTACCCAAGCGACTGTCGGCCGTCGGCTACTACTGTTAGCCCCGTCGGTAGTCATCGGAATGGCGCACGACCAACTGGATCTGCTCAGAAACGGCTAAATCTATTTTGGTCGTTTATAGCCATATCCAGTCGAACGTGCGCCATTCCGACAACTCCAACGGTGGTGGTCAATGGATGGCAATCATCTTGGGTGACTAGGGGTATTTTGTTAAATTTTAAACTTGTATTGTAGTTGTGGTGTTGTAGCAAATTCTCAAATGTAGAGGGTTACAAAAATCATTTTGCATAGTTGGACTAATTGTTATTTGATAAACATACGAAAGCATTTGTGTTTAAAATGTTAATTACTTAAGGGTAAAATGGGAACAAAATTTGGATTACCCCGGTAATCTTAAAACAACACCCTTTCACTCGTTAATCGGATTACCCCCAATATGGCATACAGTAAACACTATTTGCATTGAAAGATTACTAGAATCTTTGATTATCTACAAACCAAACACGATAATATCACGTTTTTTAGATAGATTATCGTCTTCATCTTCCATTACTAGAATAATTGTTTTGCCTATCAACTCTAGTTGACTCTTGTGACTTTAGCAAAGAACCATGATGATGTTAGTGATTTTTTTAACATCATGGCGATTGTGGTTAATATCGTCAGTTCTTCATCAAAGCGTTTGTGGTATTCTTAGTGATAAGCAAACCTGTAAAGTTATTGAAGCTCTTTTTAGTGATGAGTTTTGAAGAGGAAAAAGTCTCAATCAAGAGATTAATCTGTAATGTGCCAATGATATGCATTAGGGCTCGCATTATGGTACTTTAATGAACATAACCTTTGATGTTTTCATCCATTATCAGTGTTCTTGAAATTGTGGCAAAAGATTGGTCAAATTCAGAGCAAAAATTTCATGCAAAAATCATATTGAAACTGATGCAATCATTTGACTTTGTGTTTAGTCAATTTTTTTTTTTTTTAATGAAAATTATACTTGACTTTACAAATGAACTTTCTCAAGCACTAAAAAAAAAAAAAGATCAAGATATTGTAAATGCTCTGAATTTGGTTGAAGCATGTAAGCAAGTTTTACAATTGATGAGGGACGGTGGATGGGAGACTTTATTAAGCAAAGTTTGTTCTTTTTGTGCCAATCATGACATGAGCTCACAACCCAAGGCTCAAGGTTTCACAAACGTGCATCATTATCGCATTGAATTATGTTATAATATCTTAGATATGCAACTTCAAGAGTTGAATAATCATTTCAATGTGGTAAACATTGAATTTCTTATTTGTTTGATATGTTTATGTCCAAATGAATCATTTGTTGTGTTTGATAAACAAAAATTGATGAGTCTTATCGAACTATATCCATATGATTTTTCTGACTTATAACTCATGAGACTTGATTCTTAACTCGATGTTTACATTTTAGATATGTACTCTCATGTCAAATTTATAGGATTGAAAGTGATTTGAGATCTTGCAAAAATGATGGTTGAAAATAAAAAAGATAAGAGTGTTTCAATTAGTTTATTTGTTAATGAAATTAACATTGATTCTATCAATTGCCATTGCTAGTGTAGAGAACATTTTCAACAATGAATTTTGTGAAGAATCGTTTACGAAATAGAACGAGTGATCAATGGTTAAATGATAGCTTACTTGCGTATATAGAGAAATATGTATTTAATGGTATTGATAATGAGTCATTATATAATACTTTTAAAAGATAAAATATGGTCAAAGATAATTATAAATATATTAATTAATAAGGATTTTATAAATACAAAATCTGTATTTATGTTAATTTAAATTTGTATTATTTTTCAACCATTGACCCTCTCCATTTTATTTCTAGCTAGCATTCTACGTAAACACGCGGGCTCATAGGAATAGGATCTACTAACTCTTAGTCTCTTACTAATTACCAAATCATCACCTCCACGCTTAATGCTCTCTCTGATCTCCAAAACCCTAAAGCCCTCTCCGTCTCTCTGCGCCATAACTCGTTTGACTTTGACCTCTCACATACTCAAACTCACTCCCATCCGCCTCATGTCAACTCAGCGACTCTTTCAGCTTAAACTCGACCCACTTTCCGGTAACTTCGAATGGATTGTCATTGATGAAGACGAGAATAGTTTAGAGCCTTCACAAGAACCACTTCTTGCTACGACGTCGTATCTTGACATGCTCAATGACTCTTACAGGAACAAAGCCTATCGTTTGGCCATTGACAAGACAGTGATGAAACCGTGCCACGTGCTCGATATCGGGTACCGCTTCGTTAATCTTCTTCCTTATGTTCAAGAAGCATGAATATCTCACATAAATTTTTTTGATTTATTGTATATTAAGGTATTTTTCGCACGCTACTAAAATAACTTAATAATACAATGGACCTACCAAGAAAATCATTTTCCAGTAAACCTTTATTTGTTTGAATGTGATGGTGGGCGTTTCCAAATTGAAGTTGTGATTTCCATCCTGGTACCGTAGCATTCCCCTGCGTGTGTAAGTTTAATCTCATTTTGGATGAATTGCAATTAATACTGTGCAGTGCTGGAACTGGATTGTTATCAATGATGGCTGCGCGAGCAATGGGTTCTAGTGACTTTACAGCAGTGCCTGATGCAAAAGGAATGGTAACAGCTTGTGAGTCTTACCTTCCGATGGTAAAGCTGATGCGAAAAGTTCTGCACCTCAACGGTATGAAAAAGAATATTAATGTTATTAACAAGCGGTCTGATGAACTCAAAGTCGGTGTTGACATTGTTTCACATGCTGATGTTATGGTAAGTATTGACATTTTTTTTTTTTTTTACTAATAACAATACAAAGAAGCTAATATTGATATTAGAACATGTGCTGAAAAATTGTACAATGTTGCTTGTTTGATTAGTGGGAAAACAAGTGTGCTGTTTACAGAATGGTGTGGTGGGGGGAAAATTTGAATTGTAGAGGAAGTGATATAATAATAGTAAACAAAGTGATAAAATAAGTTGCATTGGAGTGCCTCCTAAAAGTTGACCATTTGCACTTTGCATAGCTGCTAAGCACAACTCTTTCTTTTGAAAATGAGGTCGTTGACGCAAATGAGAGTGTATGTTTGGAAAAATTGTATTCTCTGTAACGTCTCACTTTTTCAAGTACATATTAATTTGATTTGGTCCCTTTTTAATTTATGTTTATGAAGCATACCAATATAAATGGCAGGTGAGTGAGATACTGGACTCTGAGTTGTTGGGTGAAGGGCTCATACCTACTCTTCAACATGCACATGACACCCTGCTGGTAGAAAATCCATTAACTGTACCATATAAGGCCACTACTTATGGGCAGGTATTTTACTTAAACTTCTATAGTACTCTTATGTTCAGTGTGAAAATATTTTATTGCTTTATTGTGAAAGTTGTTTGGCCTTTATATCCTGCTTTCCTTTTGCTTACAAAGAAAAAAAGGTTTTTTGTGTGATATTGTTCTTTGCTTTGTGTCTTATGTTCATTTTGTTAGGTGCCTTCTGAAGAATAGTTTAGTAGTTCTGGTGGCCTTGTTAACTTTACATAAACCATAGATTCTTCACATTTCGAAGGCCAAATAGTTTTTATGTCAAATGTCAAGTTGGTACAAGCTATTAATTTTTGTCGTGAAAGATTTTACATAGTTGGATCTGGACTGTGATTACTCATGTTGTTGGTATTCATTTCAAATTGTAATTTCTCTTTCTTATTCTGAGTTTGGATATGAGTATCATTTTGACCAGTTTTAATTCCATACTTTGGATTAGGGGTGAAAATCGAGCCAAGCCACTCGCGAAAGGCTCAAGCTCGGGCTCAGCTGGACAGTAGTTGAGTTGAGCTCGAGTTCAAGTAGCTCAAATACTTATTTGAGTCGGGTTCGATCACGGTACAACTTGATTAAGCTCGATTAAAACTCGATTATACGAGCTCGAATTCGAACTCAAATTCTAATTTCAGGTACCAAGTTCAAGTTCGAACTCGATTCTACAGGCTCGGTTAGACTCGAATTTGGACTCGAATTGGGTACTGTAGCAATTGAGTCGAGTTTGAGTAACCAGATACTCGACTTGACTCGACTCGATTTCACCCCTACTTTGTGTGGGAGACAAGGATGATAATATATCATTTTGGGAATTTTCTGGTAACATGAAGTCCGGTCGTGTAAAACAGTTATTTGTATGTATTGAAAAGGATTTCCTGTTGAATACAGAGAAAAGTCTCATATTTCAAATAATCCACTGTGCCTTCCTTTAATTCCTTAAGAAGAGTTTGTAGTATTAGTCTCTCTTCTAAGAAGCTTCCCTTGTAGCATCCAGCCAAGTACATGAGTCCATACCACTATCTTACCCCCCCAGAAAAATAAATAAATAAGAAGACTGTTTTTGTGTTGCCTCAGATTGCGAGGTAGTTCACTTTCTTTTAATATTTTGTGGTTACTTTATTTATTGTCCTGATCTTGATCTCTTTTTGTTATTATTTGGGTTTTTCTCATTTTTCCAAAGCTCACAATAAATGTCTTTCTCTCAATTATTGTCTTTTCTATATTCTTCCCTCTATAAGCTGGTTGAAAGCACATTCTTGTGGAAGCTGCATGATTTATATAACAATGAAGCAAAAGCATCGGACAGCATTCATCTTGTTCCAAGCAGATCGGGAACTCCTATATGTGTCAAACAACAACAATATGCCATGCATTGTGATGCAATAACAAAAGAAATCAAACTGGTAATGACATTAATTATTATTTCACAGAATTCTTGGGATGTACCAGTGGTTTAATGCCTACTCAACTTAGGATTCATCCAGCTGTCAGAACCCTTCAAGATATTTGAAATTGACTTTTGGAAACGACCAGACAGTCATGGGGAAACTGAGCTACCGATAAAGGCAACCGATGATGGTAGAGTCCATGCTGTAGTTTCATGGTAATCATAATGGTAATCATATTTGTGCTATTTGTATTTCAGTCTTCTTCTGTAGATTGAGATATAAACATTTGTCTTATGTTTTCAGGTGGATTCTTCAGCTTGATCGTGAGGGAACAATCTTTTATTCCACTGCACCTAGATGGATAAGTTTGCCAATTCACTCAAGTGAGTAATGGACACAATAACACTGCACAAACACCAAATTCTAGTTACTTATATTTTGTCATTGTGTGTTTATGAAATTCTTGATTGTAAATCAATCAATTTAATGAAAAATGTACTTAAATGAGCAACGAGGTTTTCCAACTATTTGTTTCTGTCTTATGTGGATATTGGACCTGAACTTCTACATGTCTAACATGACTCTTATGTGAAAACGGCAATGAAAAACTAATTTCTTCATTGACAGCAGCAGCTGTCTGTGTACCTTGACTAAGTAAGTCTTGAAAAATGTTTAAAGTAAAGTAAGATCAATTTGGTTCTGCTTGCAAAATAATCTACTGTTTCTTGCTCATGTAACAAAATTAGCTGGTTTGATGCTCCACTAGGTACTGGAGACTGGTGTGACCATTGGAAACAGTGTGTCTGGTTTGTTCCAGGTAAAGGTATGTCCATATGCAATGGTGAAGAGGTTGTTTTGCATGCTACTCATACTGAAACTAGTATATCATATAATCTCAAGTCCCTAGTCCTGGGAACTGAGGTGAGGCAGTGTGACGTAAATGTTGAGGATTTTCATCTCATACTACCTCCAGAAAGAATTGCAATCTATGGTGATGGTGAATGGAGGCTTTCCATGTTCACAGCAATAAGAAATGCTGTAAGATCTCTCTCTCTCTCTCGCTCTCTCTCTGTCTTTCCCCCTCCTAGTGTGCATATATGCACACTAAATCATCAAACTCACTTTTTTATACATGGAAACCTGTCAATATTGAGTACAAAAATCTGGGCTATATATGCCTTTTAAATTATTCATCATTGTTTAACTTTTGTAGTACAAAATGTCTGTGAATGATTGTGCTTCTGAAGTGACTATACCTAACATCGCATGCATGCTGAACAATCTCTAAACATGCCTGCCTACTGAACAGAACCACAGGTTAGGAAAAGAGAACCAGTTAGAATATTCTCCTATTTCTCACATAGACACATGGTTAGGACTATGCCCAAAATTTCTTGAGTACCTTTGTAGTATTAGTTTTCTTTACTTTTCTTCGTCATTTTTTTTTCTGGCATCTTGTTATAGTGTGACCTGTATTCTTTGCAGTTGCAGCGAAGAGTGCAGCCATTATGCTTCATTGCCGATGATAGTGTTTTCTTAACAATATGTGTTGCACATCTTTCTAAAACAGCTGATGTGCTATCATTGTTTCCGGGCTTGCGAGACAAGGGTGCCCAATATTTGGAAGCTGTCTCTGATGCAAATGGTTTCTCAATGGATCGTATGAAAGTTCTGCAAAAGAGGAAAACATACTTGACATTGGATGATACTCATCAGAAGAAAGTAAGGCGCTATTGGTTTATGAATTCATTTTGTGTTTTGTGAGAATGATGAAAATAATGAAAAAGGTTAATCCAAATTATGTATTTTCAGAGTCTGAAATGACATAATTCTATGAAAATAGTATTATGGTAATAAAAAGTGAAAATGTGTTTGGTATATTTGTCTGAAAACAATATTTTACAAATGAAAGTACTAAATATTCATTTGGCATAACATGACATGTTTTAAGTAATTTAAATTATGTTTTGTATTAATTTTGTTTATTTATTAATTTTATATAATTAATTAATTAATATTCATTAGTTATTTTATTAGATTACAACTATTGTAAGCATTCTTTTTTCTCAAGTGATAAAACTTCCACACTCCTTTATATCATTCGCTATTCTCCTTAAAGTGCTCCATTTAGGTGAATGCATCTGATTATTCTCAAATGTCACTGTAGAAAAGATAAGGTGGGTGATGAAGAAGTAATTAATCGAGCTAATCTGAGATTGACACATATATACATCCATTTGAATTTATAGTGAGCTCCTTTTCCTCTTCTCAAACTTTTTTCATTCTTTTTCAATCTTTTTTATCAACATTAAAACTCAATAATTTTGTAATATCATACCACCTCACAGGCTTTCAAAAATTTGACTGGAAAAATTTAGGATGTGATTTTATGAACAAAATACCCTTGACTTGGATCTTATTTGGCTCAGCTTGAAAAATTACTTTAAATATTAAGCATTGAAATCATGTTGCTATGGGTTTTGAGATGAAAATCTGATTTTAATTAGATGTGTGCTTGTTTGCTGAAGTTTGATGAGAGTTTGAGACCATATCTGCCTTTTTATCAGAGTGAAAGACAGAGAAATAGATTAGGTTAAAAAGTGCGAGGAACCCCTTTATATTGATCTATCGGTTTCTTAATTTTAAAGGCTAAAGTTAAAAAAACAGTTTCTTATTTTTATTTTATAATAATGTAATTTGAATAAGGTTACCAAACATTTTTCACTTATACTTCAAGGAGAAAAATCTAAAAAACTGGAAAGGAATTTATAATTGATCGGGCCCTAAGTTCTTTAGATTTGGGTTGTTTATGATTGTTACATGCATTTGAAACACTGCTCCACTTTATTTGTGTGTATTCTGAGGTGGTCAGAAAATAATTGTAGTGATGACGGTGTAGTTAGATTTTTTCTTTTATACATCTAAGTTATAAAAATTCCATGCAACATCTCTATGGGTCAACTTGGGACCATAAATTTATTGAGCCATTCATTCTCTCCTCTTGGTTGTGTTGCGATTGGATAAAATAGGTTTTTTAAAATGCTGATATTTCATTATCTTAACCCTGGAATCATATTGGCATTTTATTTCTTAGAATTTGTGTCTGGCCTTTAGTTGTACTTCATGAATTTTGTCCTATTTTTCTTCAACCTTTTTCTTTAATGCATTCCTTTGACTATTAAAAATTGAGTATAAACAATTTGATTTCAGTTATTCTGTCTATAGGTGGACCTGCTAATTGCAGAACCCTACTATTATGGAAATGATGGCATGCTTCCATGGCAGAACCTGCGTTTCTGGTATACACATTTACTATTGAAATTTTCTTAAAGTCTTCTGGGTTTGTCTATGACATGTACATGAATATCTGCATATTGGCAACTCTGGTTGAGACCTTGCTAACACATCTAACTTTGCTTGCCCCTGGACTTTGTACAAAGATGTTCACACTTTGGCTTTATTGTAGGAAGTGCATGCGCGCACACACACACACACACCCACGTGTGTGTGGGTGTGTGTGTGTATGCCCTTTTTTGCTTTTTCCCTTATAGGAGAGATTTTGCTCATTGTTTAGAGAAGTTCAGGTTTGTTGAACACAAGTCCCATGATTTCACTGAAGCATCTTTCCAAGAAAAATCACCTTCAAAGGTAGCATCTTCTTTTTCTAAGTCTTCTCTTCAAATTAGTGATCATGAATTTACAACTAAAGAGATTGTGGGAGAATCAACGGGACCTGGTAGAGGAAAAGATGTGGAAAGTCTGCTGTCTCTGCATTTCTTTTTCTCACCTGTCTAACAGCTTGGTTTAGAGAGCAAGTTCCAGGTAGGAAACCTGAAACACCCCAAAAATCTATCACTTACTGAACCTATTAAGGATGTCCACAAGTCCAATTCTTAAACCAGCCCACAAGCGAAGAAAAGGGAAATGGAAAGCACCACTAGTTGAAGAGAAACGTTAAGGAGTTTTAGGGGTATATTGGATGGTATAAGGAAGTTAACGAGTGGGATTAGGTTTCCATTCATAAAGAGAGGTGTGGGTGTTGCTAATAGCATTATAAATTTAGGGTTTATAGTAATTGACGATAAGGGGTTTTAGAGTGAGAAATTCCAACCATCAAAAAGTCAAATAATGTATTTGGAATTGAGAGGAAGAAGATGATGATGTTAAATGGACAAATTTTAGACAGAATTTGGGTGCCAACTTGATGCTTAAGTGAGCCTCCAATCATTGAAATTTTAAGATCACTGTTAGAGAGAGAATTGTAGAGCATTTTGTCTAGTTTATAGATTAGTAAAGATCACATCAATCGAACATAGTGAAAACTTATGGCCTGAATACAAGCACTATGTTGGACAGAAAACTTTAGCAGGAATAAAGTGAAAAAAGAGAGATTTTTTAGCAGGAATAAAGTGAAAAAAGAGAAAGATTTGGATCTTCTGACCAAGACCAATGCTCAGCACTTATGAAAAGATATCTAGTAAATGATACATATTTTCAATTTGTTCTTAAACAAACTTATTCTAAAGATATTAGAGAAACTCATTTTTTCTAAATGTTAATTGCTTATTATGTCAATTGCGAAAGCATAGCTACTAGAAATTCTTGTTTACTCAGATTTATATGCATTTTTTATTGATTTAATTATGTACCAAGTTTGAACAAGTTAGTTATGGAGTATGGTTTATTCTAGTTATACGAAGATGTATTACTTAAAGATGTATCATTTTCAACAGGGGTCTACCCTTTTTATAGGCCAATTTGGGCAGGAAAATAATTATCCCCCCTTCACACTTTTTACATGAGTTAACAGCTGGATCCAGCTACTAATGCTCACTTCTTTCGTATCTTCAAGACTTCCTTTGTTACCTTTACAGGTGTTTCAGTTGCCTTATTTCCCCTTACTTCCTTTGTTCTTTTCGTTATGCTTTGCTCCCTTCTTCTGCAATGCCTTCATTTTGCCATCCCTTGTTATTCTTCTTCTTTCTTTCTGCTTCCTTTGCTCCTACTTCTATTGAAGAAATTCTTTCTTCGATTACTGCTCCTACAATATAGGCTATGAGTTGTGTGTCCGGGCGCTTAGTACCTGGGGAGCAAGTCTGTGCATGTGCATGACCAGATTTTATTTGCTTTGCCTATGTGAGGATAGTTCCGCCAAGTGTATAACTAGCTTAGTTCCCTTGTTTTGCCTATGTGAATTACATGAGGTGTATGACTAGCTTATTCCTTGGGTATTAGTTTGGTGTTCTTTAAAGTATGATGTGTATTACTCAGTTTCGTATATTTAGAATCACCTTCAACAAGTTTAGAATAATGTCTCACTATAATAAAACTTTTAATTCTTTTATAATGTTATTTGAAGTAGTTTATTTTATTCATTAACCAAGGGACCGTTTTGAGGAGTTTGGAGGGCTTTGCAGGGAGAACCTATTTCTCCATTTCTTTTTAATTTAGTGGTGGATAGGTTAAGTAAATTGGATGAATGAAGCTATTGAAGTCCCAATTTAATGACTGGCATATGAGTGAAAATTTTTAAAATTATGGTGTCTCATCTTCAATTTGTTGATGAAACTCTTTTCTTTATCATGGAAGAGGCCAAAATTTCCAACTGAAGTGGTAGAATGTTGTTTGCACTCTCTTATGCCTTAAATTTAATATGTGAAAAAATTTCATTGTCAGGATTAATTCTTCCAAAGAGGAAAGTAGCTCTTCGATGGCTATTTCTGACGTATCAGTTGGAAGTTGACCTCTTAACTATTTGGGCTTACCATTAGGAAAAAACCCTAGATCTCAAGGCTTTTGGGATCTATTGGTGGAAACGATTGAGAAAAGACTAGGGGGTTGGAGAGATTGATTCAATCTGGAGGAGGTAGGCTTATTTTCTTTCAAAATCTGTTGTAGTGTAGCAAAGAGAACAGAAAAGATGATGAGAGATTTTGTTTGGGAAGAATATGAAGAAGGTAGTAATTATTTGGTGGGATATTCCTCTTGGTCAAGAGGGAAAGAAGGGATTGGAGTTAGGTATGTGGAAAAGAAAAATAAGGATCTTCTAGCTAAATGGCTTTGGAGGTTTCCTCAAGAAAGAAATTTCCTTTGGTATGAAGTTATCAAAAGCAAATATGGTCTTCAATCAAATGGAAGAAATCCTAAAGAAGTTAAATATAGATCTTACAAAAAGTCCTTGGAAATACATTTCTTTAACTTTCAACTCTTTCATTACTTTAGAATTGGGAAATAACAAGGACATTTGTTTTTGGTTGGATAAACAATTCAGGGACTTTAGCTTGAATCAACTCTGCTGTCTTCTTTATAGATTGACCCCTGTAATAGAATAGTCACTATATATGCCTCTTTTGACTCTTCTTCCCCGCATGGGAGCTAGAACTCTAATTTTAAAAGAAATTTGACAGGGGAGAGATTGAAAAGTTCACATATTAATTGGGTTGCTTTACAATGTTTCTGTTAACGAGTCAAGTAAAGACAAGAGGACATGGAAACCACTCAGACTACACTTGCAAATCCTACCCTCTAAAGTTTATGTGAAAAGATTCTTGCACTCGACTTAAAACAGTACAATTCAGTTTGGAAGGTAAAAGTTCCTCTCAAAGTTCAAGTGCTTTCATGGATTTTCGTTCAAGGAGAACTCAATACAACAAACACTAGCCTACTCTCAAACTGACTATTTAAATATATAAAAATTCTTAGGAGTAGACGTCCATATTTTTTAAAAATTTGGACATTTCATTAATTGAAGCTAATAACAACTACGAAGTCTGCACTTTTTAAATGCAAATTTGACATTTAATACAAACTCTGTGTGTGCATTAAAACTTTTTTTCTTTTTGACAATTAATAGTGTACAATAATGATTTACTCATTGGATCATTGATTTCTAGTTTAATGGTGGGCTGTTGTGCAGAAGGGTAGTCCAAGGATGGTGCAGATATATGGGCTGCTTCGTATAAATCAAGAAGTTATCTAAACTTTTATTTTTTGCCTTGTTTTGAATTGGACTAGGAAGGAGCGAACTATGCTTGATCCTGTCCTTTCCGATGATGTTTTGATAATGCCATGCAAAGGAATATTGAAGGCTTGTGCCATGTCTCTTCCGGTTAGTTAACATTGTTTGCACTAGGGAAAACTTTTAGTTTTCTACACAGACAGTTTCTTGCACATCAACAGATGCAAACGAGTGTAAATCTTTATATATACTTTTGGTGTAAGCCATTTTGTTTGGACAGGATCTGTGGAACAGTCGTCGCAGTGTAAGGAAGATTGAAGGCCTTGACCATTCAGTTGTCAATACCACCTTAGGAGCATGTGGTGATTTACCATCTTCAAAAGAGGGTCCTTGCCTGCCTTTCTTTATCTGGCAGTGTGGAGAGATTGGGGTAATTAATTTATGTAGAAAAAACAAAATTTTGTTTGAAAGAAAAAGAAATATAAAATGTAATTCTAGAATGGTGAATAATTCATACCAATTTAACCATGTTGGATGTGTTTAGAAACTCAGTGAAGTATTTACAGTCATGGAGTTTGATTTCACAAAACAGATAAGTCCATGCCATGGAAAAGCCCAGGTATGCCGCCTACATTGATTGTTACTGGTTTTGTACATCATTCTCGGAATTTGGCTATCTCCTATTTGCTTATATTCTAATGGCTGTGTACAGTTATTGTAACTATACTCTTGATTGTTTATTCTAGTATATTTGTGGATTTGCTTAATATTTCAGCATACAGGAGTTGAAAGAGTGTTCTCTATGGCAGGTTGAATTTATGGAGAGTGGGATATGCCATGGATTTGCCCTATGGATTGATTGGGTGATTGATGCAGAGAACAAAATTGTGGTATCTACTGGACCGGGTACAATTTTACTCTACAAAATTGGTTCAATTTTTTGTCTTATTTCTTTGTAATATTTACCTTTGTAATCGGGCATCATATGCTTTTCAGATAAAAGATATTGGAAACAAGGAGTGAAGCTTCTGGCCTCGCCTGTAGCAGTTGGAATTGGGGGAGTTGAAAGGACGGGTATATGTTGTTCTACAGTAGTTGAAGCTTCATTCGATCCATCCAGTGGGGAGCTCAACATCCAACACACTTTCTCTTAATATGTGCCTGTATCTTTTATATATATATATATATATAGCTAATCCAACGTTAATTTTGTATTGTCATGGAGTATATGCACCATGCTTGAGAGGGCAGTTTTTATAAACTCATTTTATAGATAAAAATCTCTGTGTTAAAAGCCGGACCAGACCGATCGGTCTAACCAGTTCGATCGGGACCCGGTTGTGTTCGATCCGAACTAATATAAAACTTGCTATTACTTAAAAACCGTTTAAACCCGTTATCAAATCGGATGAACAGTGTGACCCGCTCGATCGAATCGGATCGCTTGGTAAACCGGGTCAATGTTTAAAATGAAAAAACCTTAAATCTGATTTATTTTTCACGCGACTCCACTTCTCCACTCTCTTCAATCTCTCAACTCACCAAAATCGCAACTCTCTTCTCAGATAATTGCACTTAGTCTCAATTCAATCTCTCAACTCCATCTCAACTCCACTCTTCCTTGGACCCTTACTCGACGATGGCAGCACCTACCTCGCTGGATTTCGACGATAACGCACTTCCCTTCTCCCTTGCTGGACGACGGCAACACCTCCCTCGTTGAATTTCAGTGATGATGCACCTCCCTTCTCCCTTACTCGACGACGGCAGCACCTCCCTCACTAGATTGTGTCGCTCGACGATGGCAGTACCTCCCTCGCTGGATTTTGGCAGCGATGCACCTCCCTTCTCCTTGCTGACGAAGGCACATTCACTCGTTGGATTTCGGCGACGACACACCTCCCTTCCTCCTTGCACGACGACGCCTCCCTCCTTCGTTGGAATCGACGATGACAACAATTCTCGCTCAAAATCGACGAAGACGACGCCTCTCTCTTTTGTAAGATATTTCAATTTTTTTTATGATCTATTGCTTGATGGATAATTTTTCATTAATTTGTATGTAAAAAACACTTGCGGTTTTGTTATTAATTATTATGTATTTTATCATTTAATTTGTAATAGATGATGTCTGGGACTTTGGATTGTGTTAAATCGGGATTGTTATTGATTTGAATTGGTAGTAATTAAGTTGTATTCTGAAATTTTTTTTAAAAAAAAAAAGATATTTTGTTTTGGCTGTGCTAATATCTGGTCCAACCAGCGGTCTAACCGATTGGACCGTTGACCCATGACCTGGATAGTAAAACGGGTTGCTCTCCAATTCGGTTTTAAAACAATGGATAAATTAAAATATACAAGGATCATATCATTCATGTCAATGTATTTGTCTTTCCTTGTTATAATTTTACGAGGAAAGGGTGAAAAAGATCGAGGAAAGGCTATAAGAGTTATAGTTGAAATGCCCTACAACATAAAAAAAGACGGAATCCCTGAATTATATCTTGATTATTTTCCATGGTTTATAGAGAATTGGATAGCGGTTAAACACAAGACACTCCAACACAATGTTGCATCTTTGTTGATGACGTCTACTGGGATCAAATCAATTGTAGGATTTATCTAGCATCACTTATCTGAAAAAGTATCATTCACAAAATAAAGGACTATTGGACTATTGGACATGGTTGATTATATTCATCAGCCCAGTATTATTTCCCACTTATCCCATGTTCTAGACAATGGACAGGACTAAAACTGTCAAATGGAGCAAAATAAACCCACTCCCCGCCTTGGTTTAGTCAGAACAAGGTGTAATTGTTGCACTCTTAAAATAATGAAGTAATATAATTAACCTATAATTAAATTTGGAAATAATTTTATTTAATCAAATTATTAAATCTTAAAATAATAAAGTAAATCATTTACCGTTGATTAATTTATCAATTAACTATTTAATTTATCTACTAAATTATATTTTAAGAAATTGAAATAGTATTCTGAAATATAACAAAATATTTTTTAGTATTTTTTATAAGAAATTATTATTTTATATTTAACATTTAATTATAGATAATACAACAAATATTTAATATTTACTTTTTACTTTAAAATGTTATTAATATTATTATCATTTTTTTATAAAAATATTTTCACATTTAAAAAAAATAATAATACATTTGTTTAAATAATTAATTATCCATTTAGTTCAATATTGCACCAAACACCCGAGGGTGCGTTTGATTCAGGTAATGTTGTATTATTGGGAATGTTATATTAATGGAAATAAAGATTACTTTGAAGATTACTAGAAATGTTAAGAGAAATGTATTTGGTTGGTTGGAATAAATTGGTGGCTATGTTATATTAATATGTTTGGTTGGGAGGAATAATAGATTGGTGGCTATGTTATTTAAATTACTGATTGTCATCTAATTAAATATTATTATTTAGATTATTTGTAACCCCCCTACATTTAAAAACTTAGCAAAAACAATCTCATAATAAAAGTTTGGAAAATCAACAATGTACCCCCACCAACCCAGCCACTGTCAGCCGTTGGCAATCGGCAACCTAATGGCACACGGACAATTGGAAATGGCCTCAGTGCGCCAATATGGCCATTTTCGACCAAATCTCTGGCTGGAAATTGCCAAATCATGATAGAACTGGTCGTTTCCGGCCAGATCACGGCACACGGCGACAGGTGGGTCGGGGTGGTAGCTTGGGTGGGTTGCAATTTATTTTGAATTCAAGGGTAATTTTGTCCAAAAAGTTAATTATTTGGGGTAAGATTATAAAAGCTAGATTCATGTAAATTAATTTTAAAAGAAGGGCAATAGTTTCCTAAAATTTTATTAATAAGGGATATAATTGTAACAAAAATAAGATTATCTTGGTAATCTTAAAATACCTAAGAAGATAAAGGTGATTAGATTACCTCCTATATTACCAACTAGGGCTGTCAATCGAGCCGAGTCGCTCGCGAGTCGGCTCGGCTCGACTCGTTAAATACTCGAACTCGGCTCGATTATAATCAAGCTGAGCCTGCTCGAATTCGACTCGAGTAAGTTGCCGAGCCGAGTTCGAGTCTACCTCGACTTGGCTCGATTCGGCTCGCGAGCCAATAGTGGCTCGTTTAGGGTTTTTCTGCGCATAATACAAGGTTTTGGGTTTTTTTTGTAATTTGACATGTTAAAGACTAAAAGGTTTAAAAAATCACAAATTAACCCTTAACCAAATAATCCCAATTAACCCAAAATCAAATTGCGTAAATTCATTCTCCCCCAAATCAAGAATCCTAAAACAAGAAACCCCCAAAACAATTTCCTAATTATCACACCAAGCCACCCACAAACACAGGAACCATTGGAGATTCAACTTCCAGAAGTTTGAGTTCTATGCCATTTGGATTGTATAATTTGTTGTGTAATACGTTGTTTATGTTGATTTGGATGTGATTTATGTTGATTTAGATGCAAATTGATCAAAAATTGGATCTGATTTGTGTAAAACAAGATCTACAGGTTATATTAAAAAAGGGTCAAACAAGCCGTAATCGAGCCAATTCGAGCTTGCGTTAAACGAGCCAAGTCATGAGTCGAATTTTTCCGACTCGGTTGACTCGTGACTCGACTCAAACTCGTCTAATACTTAAACGAGTTAGGCTCGTTTAGGGTAATACTCGGCTCGACTTAGCTCGTTTACACCCCTATTACCAACAATAATTACTATTGGTTATGAAAGATTTAAAATTTTACATTACTTGACAACTAAACGTGGTAATCAAGTAATATAAGATGACATTTCTTCAGTAATCTTACTTACCCTCCAACCAAACGCACCCTGATAGTATTAAAGGGAGATTTCAAAAACTACCACTTACCTGATCTGTTTTAAAAACTGGACCGGACCAGCTAGTGGGACCAGGACCCAGTAGCTTCTCTGGTCCGGTTCAAGTCTTAGGGGGTTTTGTAGTATTTCAAAATTATAAGGGTTACTTTGTAATTTTATAGGGGTGTTTTAGAGATATATCAAAAGTTTATGGATTAATTGGTAATTTTTTGGGGCATTTTTGAAAATAAATAAAAATTTTAAGAATTCATTTGAACTTTTTTAGAGGAATTTTTGTAATATATTAAAATTTGAGGGATTAATATGCAATTTTTTTTAAAAATAAAATTATCGCTAACGTCATTGATCCAACCGACCGGTCCCACCGATTGGATCGGTTGACCTGAGCAGCAAAACGGGTTACCCTCCGGTCCAGGTTTTAAAACAATGCCTGATGTTAATATTCATACTCATGGCATTTGTGCAGGAAACTATCAATATATACCCCTGAAACCTAACACCGTTCAAATTAAGTTTAACAATTCATGGGTATTTTGGACAATTAACTAAAAATAGTATGTTCAAAAAATTTGTTCCACTATTTCNTACTCGAACTCGGCTCGATTATAATCAAGCTGAGCCTGCTCGAATTCGACTCGAGTAAGTTGCCGAGCCGAGTTCGAGTCTACCTCGACTTGGCTCGATTCGGCTCGCGAGCCAATAGTGGCTCGTTTAGGGTTTTTCTGCGCATAATACAAGGTTTTGGGTTTTTTTTGTAATTTGACATGTTAAAGACTAAAAGGTTTAAAAAATCACAAATTAACCCTTAACCAAATAATCCCAATTAACCCAAAATCAAATTGCGTAAATTCATTCTCCCCCAAATCAAGAATCCTAAAACAAGAAACCCCCAAAACAATTTCCTAATTATCACACCAAGCCACCCACAAACACAGGAACCATTGGAGATTCAACTTCCAGAAGTTTGAGTTCTATGCCATTTGGATTGTATAATTTGTTGTGTAATACGTTGTTTATGTTGATTTGGATGTGATTTATGTTGATTTAGATGCAAATTGATCAAAAATTGGATCTGATTTGTGTAAAACAAGATCTACAGGTTATATTAAAAAAGGGTCAAACAAGCCGTAATCGAGCCAATTCGAGCTTGCGTTAAACGAGCCAAGTCATGAGTCGAATTTTTCCGACTCGGTTGACTCGTGACTCGACTCAAACTCGTCTAATACTTAAACGAGTTAGGCTCGTTTAGGGTAATACTCGGCTCGACTTAGCTCGTTTACACCCCTATTACCAACAATAATTACTATTGGTTATGAAAGATTTAAAATTTTACATTACTTGACAACTAAACGTGGTAATCAAGTAATATAAGATGACATTTCTTCAGTAATCTTACTTACCCTCCAACCAAACGCACCCTGATAGTATTAAAGGGAGATTTCAAAAACTACCACTTACCTGATCTGTTTTAAAAACTGGACCGGACCAGCTAGTGGGACCAGGACCCAGTAGCTTCTCTGGTCCGGTTCAAGTCTTAGGGGGTTTTGTAGTATTTCAAAATTATAAGGGTTACTTTGTAATTTTATAGGGGTGTTTTAGAGATATATCAAAAGTTTATGGATTAATTGGTAATTTTTTGGGGCATTTTTGAAAATAAATAAAAATTTTAAGAATTCATTTGAACTTTTTTAGAGGAATTTTTGTAATATATTAAAATTTGAGGGATTAATATGCAATTTTTTTTAAAAATAAAATTATCGCTAACGTCATTGATCCAACCGACCGGTCCCACCGATTGGATCGGTTGACCTGAGCAGCAAAACGGGTTACCCTCCGGTCCAGGTTTTAAAACAATGCCTGATGTTAATATTCATACTCATGGCATTTGTGCAGGAAACTATCAATATATACCCCTGAAACCTAACACCGTTCAAATTAAGTTTAACAATTCATGGGTATTTTGGACAATTAACTAAAAATAGTATGTTCAAAAAATTTGTTCCACTATTTCCAAGAACCATTTTTTTTAAATAAATTAAAAAATTAAATTAGAGTTAGGCCAAGATGTGTACCCGTTCCGAGTTGTCAAAACATCACAAAAATTTTCAGATTCAATGAGCAGGGCAAAGTGGTTTTTTCATATTAATTTCCCATTTCAAGGTAACAAAACTTAACACTGTTAGGGTTCAGGGTACAATGTGATGATTTATGGTATAGTAACCATGAACTTGAATATTAGCTAAAGGTGAGGGCCTGGGGTAAGTTTGAAAATCTCCCTAGCATTAAATTTTATCCAATTCAAACCACTTCAATTCAGTGCAAAATAACCAGTACAAACGCACCCTATAGGCAGCATTTAAACTATAAATTACATGTTAAAATCTACATGGTGGGAAAAATAGGGGAGAAATCCATTATTATAGTGACTAACTTAACATAAGATGACATCAACTTACTGTAACTGAAATACAGTAGTGTTTGAGCACATTGGAAGGAAGAGATAGAATACACAAGTCGCCTTTTTTATTTTCATATTCAGTAAAAATACACCAAGAAATTGTGACTTGTCTCCTCAATGGTTTTATTGGATTTACATTTCCTAAAATAAAAATGATATAATAAGTTAAATGGGAAAAAGTTGTGACAAGTTGGAGTACCTCAAATGGCATGCGTTACATGCAAAATTGCGAGAGGTAACCAAAGCTAGTATTACATCATTTGATTACATTCAGATTCTGTGTACTTCCTGGGGTATAACCAACTCCTCATAATCATCAACCACCACCTGATTCAGATTGAAAATTAGTACTTCAAAATCAAAAACTAAGAACTCATCCAGATGGCTCTATTCCACAACCAAAAGATAGGGACCAGAATTACCTCATATCTATTGCCCCTGTAAGTGTACTCGACATACAATTGCTTAGGCTCTCCCGGACAAGGATCGCAGAAACCCATGATACCCGACTTCTTAACACCCTCATGAAGCTAAGCAAACAGATTGAACAAATTAAATATAAATACGTCAAAATTATGAGATCTAAATTCATTTAAGTAGCTAATGCATCCAACACAATCTAAATCTTTTCAAAGTTGAAGACAAAAATCAATTCTAAGACTGCAATAATGTGTGTACTTGGCTTCTGCAGATAGTTTCCTCTTAAAAAGTATGACAAATTTACAGCCCATAATATACAAAATTAATATAAGCCCTTGGATTATGTAAAAGAAGTGCATACACCAATTTATCCAAAGTATTTCTAGCCATCCATATTATTAAAACCAGAATGTACACTAGATTCGTATGAGAAAAGAATCTCAAGCAACAGCAGTTCAAAGAAACATACCCTGAGTTGCCCAGAATCATTAACTAGGAAATTAAGAGGTAATGTAACATCCATGACTTGCGAAGCTGTTTCATCGTTCAAATCTCTTGATCCATCTCTTGTCAAAGTGTTGCGAGCACCATAAACTGCTTTAGTAATAACCAGTCCACCTGTTTCCATTTGCCTATTCCTTTTCCTGTTGGCCACATTTTGTAATAATTGCTGAGCTTTTTCTGCTGCTGCCTTTGCCTCTCGAACCTATACTTTGAGTGAGACCCACAGATTTTTAGACAAGGCCAAGAACTTCCAAATATTCATAAAGTAAGAAAAACCTCCTGATATCCATTTTTAAATAGTTCCTTAGTTAATTATGACATCTCTGGTTTATAGTGTTTGCATGAAGCCTGTGCATAAGATACTTCCTTCTAATATAGTTTATTGTTAAAAAGAAAGATAAATAAATAATAAAAATAAAAGGTGTACTACACTCTGCAACCAAGGGGAATCTCTCCCTTTCAAGAGCTGGGGAAGTCAGGGGTCCAAACAAAAGCACAACACTTCATTCATTCATGATAAATTCCAGTCCACCATAGAAAAATGTTGTATCTTCCAAAATGGGCAGTTATGTAATAGTCCATACAAGAAAGAGTTGACCAAGCTAATGTATCTGAACTTGCAGATCTTAAAGCAGGGTGACTCTTAACCATATGTAAAAGCATAACTACCTTTTGGAATATGGGTAGTCATACTCATACCTGAGCAGAAGTTCTTTCCATATTCTCTAATGCCTTCTGTTTTTCCCTCTTACGATAATATGGTTTGAAGACAAACTTCTGTGAGCACAGACAACAAAATATATACAAGTGAGAATCCTTCAACTTAAAAGTCCAGCACAGTACACTGTGTTAAGTTTCACATCACATACACAAGAAACAATAACTCAGAACTTTACTAGCATTAGTTCAACCAGAAGTATTATATCTCATAAAAGTATCAGAAAAATCTCATCAAACAAATTGCCAACTATCAGATTTTGGTAATTTTCAGCCAAGAGTTTCAGGTTAGGTTAGTCATAGTAGGTGGGTCCAAATTCACTATAATGAAAAACAGTAACCCAAAATTTTGATTCATAATAGAGGATTTACTCCTGAAAACTCATACAGTATATAAGATACACTGAATACAAAAACCAGATCTTCAAGGTAAATATCCAAATATAAAGAATGGAAGAAGAGCAGAAAATTTTAACATACTTCAAAGACACTTCTTATATTTCCCCAAAAGCAGGGAGAATAACACAATATCGTTTTATCACACGTATTTTCAATACCCAAGCATATCTATTTTCCAAGTAACTCACCAAGAAAATTGTAACTGCTTTATGCTAACTATATGATTCAAAGCCACTGGTGTTACAGTTAAGTCTGAATTTCCTTAGGACATACTTGCAAAAGCTCCAGATTATTTGAAATGGAAGTAACAATAATGAGTAATGGAATAAGTAAACTTTTCAACAAATAGGATCAGACAAGAGTGTGATATTTTATAACCTTAAGTGAAAAGTAAAGTGATGTTGGAATTATGAATGCTCCAGCTGCAAATAAGGAAGTGAAATTCCTGGAAAGCAATACCTGCACATAACAGTCGATCAGCAAAAGAAAAAATCCAGTAGGAAAAAACTTAAGCCATATAACAGGAATTAAACTATTTAATATTCCCTGCAGATGGTATTACAAAGCTATGGCTCACAAAAACATTGAGGGAATTAAAGAGAGAATGTTAAGAAAAATGCTATCCTTACAAAGACCCATACAAAGAGGGCTACAAAGTGACATCATCTAGAAGAAAAAAACAAAGAAAAAACGGAAAAAGAGAGAGAGAGAGAGAGAGAAATCATGAAAATCAAGGGTGGGGATTGTCTTTGTATGCTCCCTTTGTATGTGTCTTTGTAAAACTAGAATTGCTCGTATGTTAAACTATTCAACTGTCAATAACTAATTATCACACATCCCAAATTCCCATACCTTACAAATTAAATATTGAGTTTGCAGTACACTGTTGACCAGTAATTGCCATTGATTATTTATGTGCCATAAACAAATTATAATACCTTTACATAAAACTCAAACACCTGACTATATGTGGATATAATGTGTATGTTTTGTATAAATGTCATTTACAGTGCTCAGGCATACTTCCAGTTGCTGCCTTGAAATATTAAGTAAAACCAAAATTGCTATTGTTACTTCAGATGTATTTTCACTTTTAGAAATAACAAATATGCATCTATACTATTTCCATTGAAGCAACTCAAAAAAGGCCCATGACTTCTATATCCACAAATCCTTGAGTGTTGTGTAAATCTCTGATCCCATGGCAATCCTACCCCAATACAGACACAGTTAAAAAAGAAGAAATTGCAAGCCTAAAATATACATGAGCCATAAACACGATAATGATGAGGATATGCATACAGGAATAATTAACTTTTGACCCCCACGATGCAGCTCAAATTTCCAAAAGATACCCTGCAAAAAGAAACAGAGATATTATCTTCAGATACGCAGAAATATTAGTAACAGCTAAAGAAGCAAATCAGTCCACAAAATGGAAATCTTACATTCAAATACTTTGTAAGTATTCGGAAATAGATATGTTAATGCAACTATTAATCCAAAAAGGTGCCCACAGCACCATAGTTTCATACAGATTTCCTAAAATCTGGATTTCTACTGCATAGCACAATAGTGGAAAAGCATAAACAATACTAATAGAAAATCAATTTGCTTTTGGTAAAGGGAGAAGCAATTACCCGAACCCCTATTGTATACAGCATGCGTATGGTGCTGAATTCTGATACTTTCCTCCCACCACCAACTTCAATCTCAAGAGCAGTGCTGCAACAATAAAATAAACAGTCAACAAAAACCATGCAGCCTCAACAAGCTAGAATATCTGGTATATTTCTGCATCACTTTTGTGCAAGAAACAATTCAAAGAATTATTTTTAAAGATTAAATGGAAAAAGGTATGAGATGATATAAATTCTACTGCCAAAAAAAATATGACTGAAAGAGTCACAACATCAAGGGGCCACTCTGATTGAAAATCTTCATCTCATCATGAAAATCCAAATTAAAGGATAACTATTTGAGTTGAACTCTTCTTGCTGCTAGCACATTGGCTTCCCAAAAGTTCCAATTATCAAAATCACATGTCTATTTGACATTGTAAGTTGTAACTCAGGTCTACTTTTTATTTTCCAAAAATGAAATTGGCCCCCTATATTACCAAGTATTCTTTTGATGAAGGAAAAAAAAAAAAAATCCTTCAACTACTGACATCTATAGGATGTCTAAGAAGCAGACAATTTCTCTAAGTTGGCAACAGTAGAAGAAATAGAAATGTAACAAGCTACAATAAATGAAAAAAGAGGAAATTTCACTCAGTTTCTAAAGATCATGGTAGGAACCATATAATTTATCATGAAAATATTTTCCCCCATGTAGACTTAACTCAAAAAACTTTACCTAATGAATCTATACTTCTTCAGTAAAAAGTAACTTTAAATAAGATTTTTATCTCTAGTTGTAAGTAGCTATTATCTACACCATCTAAAGAATAACACTAGCTAAAACATATCAGCTCATAATTTGTATGTAAAAAACACTGGCGGTTTTGTTATTAATTATTATGTATTTTATCATTTAATTGTAATAGATGATGTCCTGGGACTTTGGATTGTGTTAAATCGGGATTGTTATTGAGTTTGAATTGGTGTAATTCAAGTTGGTATTCTGAAATTTTTTTTAAAAAAAAAAGATATTTTGTTTTGGCTGTGCTAATATCCCTGGTCCAACCAGCGGTCTAACCGATTGGACCCGTTGACCCATGACCTGGATAGTAAAACGGGTTGCTCTCCAATTCGGTTTTAAAACAATGGATAAAATTTAAAATATACAAGGACTCATATCAATTCATGTCAAGATATTGTCTTTCCTTGTTATAATTTTAGGAGGAATGGGTGAAAAAGATCGAGGAAAGGCATAAGAAGCTTATAGTTGAAATGCCCTACAACATAAAAACTAAAAAGACGGAATCCCTGAATTATATCTTGATTATTTTCCATGGTTTATAGAGATTTGGATAGCTGGTAAACACAAGACAACTCCAACACAATGTTGCATCTTTGTTGATGACGTTTACTGGGATCAAATCATTGTACGGATTTATCTAGCATCACTTGTATCTGAAAAAGTAGTCATTCACAAAATAAAGGACTATTGGACTATTGGACATGGTGTGATTATATTCATCAGCCCAGTATTATTTCCCACTTATCCCATGTTCTAGAACAATGGACAGACTAAAACTGTCAAATGGAGCAAAATAAACCCACTCCCCGCCTTGGTTTAGTCAGAACAAGGTGTAATTGTTGCACTCTTAAAATAATGAAGTAATATAATTAACCTATAATTAATTTGGAAATAATTTTATTAATCAAATTATTAAATCTTAAAATAATAAAGTAAATCTTTACAGTTGATTAATTTATCAATTAACTATTTAATTTATCTACTAATTTATATTTTAAGAAATTGAAATAGAGTCTGAAATATAACAAAATTTTTTAGTATTTTTTATAAGAAATTATTATTTTATATTTAACATTTAATTAAATAATACAACAAATATTAATATTCACTTTTTACTTTAAGATTTTATTAACATATTATCATTTTTTTATAAAATATTTTCACTTTTTTTTAAATAATAATACATTTGTTTAATATTAATTATCCATTTAGTTTCAATATTGCACCAAACACCCAATGGTGCGTTTGGTTCAGGTAATGTTGTATTACTGGGAATGTTATATTATAAAATAAGATTACTTTAAGGGGTTCGTTTGGTTCGGTTAAATGGCATTACTGGGGAATGTCATCTTATATTACTTGATTACCACGTTTGGTTGTCAAGTAATAAAAGATACCTGTAATCTTCAAATACCAATAGTGGTTACTATGGTAATTAAAGGTAATCTGATTACCTTCACTTTCTTATTTTCTGAGATTACCATGGTTATCTTTTTTTGTTACAATTTATCCTTTATTAATAAAAATTTTAGACAATAATACCCCTACTTTAAAACAAATTTACATTATATCCTATTTCAATTTTAACCTTGTCTAATTAAAATTTTGGACATAATGCCTTTATATTTAAAATAATTTACAGACCACCACTGCCACCAAGCACCATCACCACAGCCACCCACCACCACCCCGCCAACAGCGGGTCAACCACCACGGACCACTGCTGGGAAAATTGTCGGAGTCCCTAAACCACTGGAAATTCTGTGGGAGGCTCCGGGAGGCTTCGCTATGCCGTTTTTGGCCATATTGATGTGCCAAACGGCCATATCGGGCCAGATCTGGCCGGAAATGGCCGTTTTCGGCCATCAATATGGCAAAAACGGTCATAGCGGAGCCTCTTGGTCACGGTACGTACTCACAGGCACATCCGCGGTGGTTTCGCGGTGGCGGCAGGAGGTGGGTGATTTCTCATAAATTAAAGTTTTATATAAGCGGTGTTTTAGCTAAATCTGAAATATTCGGGGTTAAAAGAATTATTCAAAATTAATAATAAAAATAATTTATATTAATATTTAAAAGGGGAAAATTTGTAATTTAAATAGCATACCCCCAATTTATTCCCCAAACCAAACAATTAATATAACATACCCACCAACTAACCAAACAATATTTTTCTAAAGATTCCCAGTAATCTTCAAGGTAATCTATCTTTCCAGTAATTCAATATTCCTAGTAATCTAACATTCCTGAACCAAACGCCCCCTAAAGATTACTAGAAATGTTAAGGGAAATTTTTTGCTGACTGGAATAAATTGGTTACTATATTATATTAATATTGTTTGGTTGGGAGAAATAATAGATTGGTGGGTATGTTATTTAAATTATAAATTATCATCTAATTAATATATTATTTAGATTATTATATAACCCCCCCCCCCCCCCCCCCAACGTTTAAACTTAGCAAAACAACCCATAATAAAGTTTGGAAAATCAACAATGCACCCCACCAACCAGCCACTGTCGGCCGTGGCACCGAAAACCTAATGGCACAGACAATCAAAAATGGCTCTGTGCGACAATATGGCCATTTCCCGGCCGATCTCTGGCTGGAAATGGCCAAATGCATGAGAAACTGATCGTTTCTGGCCAGATCACGGCACATGGCGACAGGTGGTGGGGTAGTGGCTTGGGTGGTTTGCAATTTATTTTGAATTCAAGGGTAATTTTGTCCAAAAAGTTAATTATTGGGGTAAAATTATAAAAGCTAGATTCTGTAAATTAATTTAAAACAAGGCATAGTATCTAAAATTTTATTAATAGGGATAAATTGTAACAAAGTAAGATTACCTTGATAATCTTAAAATACCTAAGAAGATAGAAGGTAATTAAATTACCTCCTATATACCAACAATAATTACTATTGGTTGTGGAAGATTTTTAAATCTTTATTACTACTTGACACAAACTGGTAATAAAGTAAATATAAGATAACATTACTTCAGTAATCTCACTTACCCTCCAACCAAACGCACCCTGATAGTATTAAAGGGAGATTTCAAAACTACCACTATCTGATGTTAATATTCAACACATGGCATTTTGCAAGAACTATCAAAATATACCCTAAACCTAACACCGTTCAAATTAAGTTAACAATTCATGGTATTGGACAATTAATAAAAATAGTATGTTCAAAATTCTGTTCCACTATTTCAGAACCATTTTTTTAAATAAATTAAAAAATTAAATTAGAGTGGCCAAGATGTGTACCCGTTCGAGTTGTCAAAACATCACAAAAATTTTCAGATTCAATGAGAAGGCAAGTGGTTTTTCATATTAATTTCCCATTTCAAGTAACAAAACTTAACACTGTTAGGGTTCAGGGTACAGTGATGATTTATGGTATAGTAACCATGAACTTGAATATTAGCTAAGGTGAGGGCCTGGGGTAAGTTTGAAAATCTCCCTAGCATTAAATTTTACCAATTCACACAACCACTTCAATTCAGTGCAAAATAACCAGTACAAACGCACCCTATAGCAGCATTTAAACTATAAATTACATGTTAATCTACATGTGGGAAAATAGGGGAGAAATCCATTATTATAGTGACAACTTAACATAAGATGACATCAACTTACTGTAACTGAAATACAGTAGTGTTTGAGCCATTGGAAGGAAGAGATAGAATACACAAGTCGCCTTCTTTATTTTCATATTCAGTAAAAATACACCAAGAAATTGTGACTTGTCTCCTCAATGTTTTATTGATTTACATTTCCTAAAATAAAAATGATATAATAAGTTAATGGGAAAAAGTTTGTACAAGTTGGAGTACCTCAAATGGCATGCGTTACATGCAAAATTGCAGAGAGTAACCAAGCTAGTATTACATCATTTGATTACATTCAGATTCTGTGTACTTCCTGGGGTATAACCAACTCCCATAATCATCAACCACCACCTGATTCAGATTGAAAATTAGTACTTCAAAATCAAAAACTAAGAAACTCATCCAGATGGCTCTATTCCACAACCAAAAGATAGGGACCAGAATTACCTCATATCTATTGCCCCTGTAAGTGTACCGACATACAATTGCTTAGGCTCTCCCGGACAAGGATCGCAGAAACCCATGATACCCGACTTCTTAACACCCTCATAAGCTAACAAACAGATGAACAAATTAAATATAAATAGTCAAAATTATGAGATCTAAATTCATTTAAGTAGCTAATGCATCCAACACAATCTAAATCTTTTCAAAGTTGAAGACAAAAATCAATTCTAAGACTGCAATAATGTGTGTACTTGGCTTCTCAGATAGTTTCCTCTTAAAAAGTATGACAAATTTACAGCCCATAATATACAAATAATATAAGCCCTTGGTTATGTAAAAGAAGTGCATACACCAATTAACCAAAGTATTTCTAGCCATCCATATTATTAAACCAGAATACAGATGTACTAGATTCGTATGAGAAAATCATCTCAGCAACAGCGTTCAAAGAAACTACCCTGAGTTGCCCAGAATCTTAACTAGAATTAAGGGTAATGTAACATCCATGACTGGAAGTGTTTCATTGTTCAAATCTCTTGATCTCTCTTGTCAAGTGTTGCGAGCACCATAACTGCTTTAGTAATAACCAGTCCACCTGTTTCCATTTGCCTATTCCTTTTCCTCTTGGCCACTTTTGTAATAATTGCTGAGCTTTTTCTGCTGCTGCCTTCCTTGCCTCTGACCTATACTGAGTGAGACCCACAGATTTTTAGACAAGGCCAGAACTTCCAAATATTCATAAAGTAAAAAACCTCCTGATATCCATTTTTAAAAGTTTCCTTATTAATTATGAATCTCTGGTTTATGTGTTGCATGAAGCCTGTGCATAAGATACTTCCTTCTAATATAGTTTATTGTTAAAAGAAAGATAAATAAATAATAATAAAAGGTGTACTACACTCGACACCAAGGGGATCTCTCCCTTTCAAGAGCTGGGGAAGTCGGTCCAACAAAAGCCAACACTTCATTCATTCAGATAAATTCCAGTCCACCATAGAAAATGTTGATCTTCCAAAATGGGCAGTTTATGTAGTCCATACAAGAAAGAGTTGACCAAGCTAATGTATCTGAACTTGCAGATCTTAAAGCAGGGTGACTCTTAACCATATGTAAAAGCATAACTACCTTTGGGAATATGGGTAGTCATACTCATCCTGAGCAGAATTTCTTCCATATCTCTAATGCCTTCTGTTTTTCCCTCTTACGATAATAGGTTTGAAGAACAACTTCTGTGAGCACAGACAACAAAAATATACAAGTGAGAACCTTCAACTTAAAAGTCCAGCACGTACACGTGTTAAGTTTCACATCACATACACAAAAACAATAACTCAGAACTTTCTAGCATTAGTTCAACCAAGTATTTTATCCATAAAAGTATCAGAAAAATCTCTCAAACAAATTGCCAACTATCAGATTTTGGTAATTTTCAGCCAAGAGTTTCAGGTTAGGTTAGTCAAGTAGGTGGTCCAAATTCACTATAATGAAAACAGTAACCCAAAATTTTGATTCATATAGAGGATTACACCTGAAAACTCATACAGTATATAGATAGATTCTTGCACTTGACTTAAAACAGTACAACTCAGTTTGGAAGGTAAAAGTTCCTCGCAAAGTTCAAGTGCTTTCATGGATTTTCGTTCAAGGAGAACTCAATACAACAAACACTAGCCTACTCTCAAACTCACTATTTAAATATATAAAAATTCTTAGGAGTAGACGTCCGTATTTTTTAAAAATTTAGACATTTCATTAATTGAAGCTAATAACAACTACGAAGTCTGCACTTTTTAAATGCAAATTTGACATTTAATACAAACTCTGTGTGTGCATTAAAACTTTTTTTCTTTTTGACAATTAATAGTGTACAATAATGATTTACTCATTGGATCATTGATTTCAAGTTTAATGGTGGGCTGTTGTGCAGAAGGGTAGTCCAAGGATGGTGCAGATATATGGGCTGCTTCGTATAAATCAAGAAGTTATCTAAACTTTTATTTTTTGCCTTGTTTTGAATTGGACTAGGAAGGAGCGAACTATGCTTGATCCTGTCCTTTCCGATGATGTTTTGATAATGCCATGCAAAGGAATATTGAAGGCTTGTGCCATGTCCCTTCCGGTTAGTTAATATTGTTTGCACTAGGGAAAACTTTTAGTTTTCTACACAGACAGTTTCTTGCACATCAACAGATGCAAACGAGTGTAAATCTTTATATATACTTTTGGTGTAAGCCATTTTGTTTGGACAGGATCTATGGAACAGTCGTTGCAGTGTAAGGAAGATTGAAGGCTTTGACCATTCAGTTGTCAATACCACCTTAGGAGCATGTGGTGATTTACCATCTTCAAAAGAGGGTCCTTGCCTGCCTTTCTTTATCTGGCAGTGTGGAGAGATTGGGGTAATTAATTTATGTAGAAAAAACAAAATTTTGTTTGAAAGAAAAAGAAATATAAAATGTAATTCTAGAATGGTGAATAATTCATACCAATTTAACCATGTTGGATGTGTTTAGAAACTCAGTGAAGTATTTACAGTCATGGAGTTTGATTTCACAAAACAGATAAGTCCATGCCATGGAAAAGCCCAGGTATGCCGCCTACATTGATTGTTACTGGTTTTGTACATCATTCTCGGAATTTGGCTATCTCCTATCTGCTTATATTCTAATGGCTGTGTACAGTTATTGTAACTATACTCTTGATTGTTTATTCTAGTATATTTGTGGATAACCACAAATATATTTGCTTAATATTTCAGCATACAGGAGTTGAAAGAGTGTTCTCTATGGCAGGTTGAATTTATGGAGAGTGGGATATGCCATGGATTTGCCCTATGGATTGATTGGGTGATTGATGCAGAGAACAAAATTGTGGTGTCTACTGGACCGGGTACAATTTTACTCTACAAAATTGGTTCAATTTTTTGTCTTATTTCTTTGTAATATTTACCTTTGTAATCGGGCATCATATGCTTTTCAGATAAAAGATATTGGAAACAAGGAGTGAAGCTTCTGGCCTCGCCTGTAGCAGTTGGAATTGGGGGAGCTGAAAGGACGGGTATATGTTGTTCTACATTAGTTGAAGCTTCATTCGATCCATCCAGTGGGGAGCTCAACATCCAACACACTTTCTCTTAATATGTGCCTGTATCTTTTATATATATATATATATATAGCTAATCCAACGTTAATTTTGTATTGTCATGGAGTATATGCACCATGCTTGAGAGGGCAGTTTTTATAAACTCATTTTATAGATAAAAATCTCTGTGTTAAAAGCCGGACCAGACCGATCGGTCTAACCAGTTCGATCGGGACCCGGTTGTGTTCGATCCGAACTAATATAAAACTTGCTATTACTTAAAAACCGTTTAAACCCGTTATCAAATCGGATGAACAGTGTGACCCGCTCGATCGAATCGGATCGCTTGGTAAACCGGGTCAATGTTTAAAATGAAAAAACCTTAAATCTGATTTATTTTTCACGCGACTCCACTTCTCCACTCTCTTCAATCTCTCAACTCACCAAAATCGCAACTCTCTTCTCAGATAATTGCACTTAGTCTCAATTCAATCTCTCAACTCCATCTCAACTCCACTCTTCCTTGGACCCTTACTCGACGATGGCAGCACCTACCTCGCTGGATTTCGACGATAACGCACTTCCCTTCTCCCTTGCTGGACGACGGCAACACCTCCCTCGTTGAATTTCAGTGATGATGCACCTCCCTTCTCCCTTACTCGACGACGGCAGCACCTCCCTCACTAGATTGTGTCGCTCGACGATGGCAGTACCTCCCTCGCTGGATTTTGGCAGCGATGCACCTCCCTTCTCCCTTGCTCGACGAAGGCAACATTTCACTCGTTGGATTTCGGCGACGACACACCTCCCTTCTCCCTTGCACGACGACGCCTCCCTCCTTCGTTGGAATCGACGATGACAACAATTCTCTTGCTCAAAATCGACGAAGACGACGCCTCTCTCTTTTGTAAAGATATTTCAATTTTTTTTTTATGAATCTATTGCTTTGATGGATAATTTGTTCATTGAATTTGTATGTAAAAAACACTTGCGGTTTTGTTATTAATTATTATGTATTTTATCATTTAATTTGTAATAGATGATGTCTGGGGACTTTGGATTGTAGTTAAATCGGGATTGTTATTGAGTTTGAATTGGGTAGTAATTAAGTTGGTATTCTGAAATTTTTTTTTAAAAAAAAAAAGATATTTTGTTTTGGCTGTGCTAATATCACTGGTCCAACCAGTCGGTCTAACCGATTGGACCGGTTGACCCATGACCTGGATAGTAAAACGGGTTGCTCTCCAATTCGGGTTTTAAAACAATGGATAAAATTTAAAATATTACAAGGATATCATATCATTCATGTCAATATGTATTTGTCTTTCCTTTGTTATAATTTTAGGAGGAATGGGTGAAAAAGATCGAGGAAAGGCTAATAAAAGAAGTTTATAGTTGAAATGCCCTACAACATAAAAACTAAAAAGACGGAATCCCTGAATTATATCTTGATTATTTTTCATGGTTTATAGAGAATTGGATAGCGGGTTAAACACAAGACAGCTCCAACACAATGTTTGCATCTCTGATTGATGACGTGCTACTGGGATCAAATCAATTGTACTGGATTTATCTAGCATTCACTTGTATCTGAAAAAGTAGTCATTCACAAAATAAAGGACTATTGGACTATTGGACATGGTGTGATTAATTATTCATCAGCCCAGTATTATTTCCCACTTATCCCATGTTCTAGAACAAATGGACAGGACTAAAACTGTCAAATGGAGCAAAATAACCCACTCCCCCCTTGGTTTAGTCAGAACAAGGTGTAATTGTTGCACTCTTAAATAATGAAGTAATATAATTAACCTATAATTAATTTGGAAATTAATTTTATTAATCAAATTATTAAATCTTAAAATATAAAGTAAATCATTTACAGTTGATTAATTTATCAATTAACTATTTAATTTATCTACTAATTTATATTTTAAGAAATTGAAATAGATCTGAAATATAACAAAATATTTTTAGTATTTTTTATAAGAAATTATTATTTTATATTTACATTTAATTAAGATAATACAACAAATATTTAATATTCACTTTTTACTTTAAGATTTTATTAACATTATTATCATTTTTTTATAAAAATATTTTCACTTTTTTTTAAATAATAATACATTTGTTTAATATTAATTATCCATTTAGTTTCAATATTGCACCAAACACCCAATGGTGCGTTTGGTTCAGGTAATGTTGTATTACTGGGAATGTTATATTATAGAAATAAGATTACTTAAGGGGTCGTTTGGTTCGGTTAAATGGCATTACTGGGGTATGTCATCTTATATTACTTGATTACACGTTTGGTTGTCAAGTAATAAAAGATACCTGTAATCTTCAAATACCAATAGTGGTTACTATGGTAATATAAAGGTAATCTGATTACCTTCACTTTCTTATGTTTCTGAGATTACCATGGTTATCTTTTTTTTGTTACAATTTATCCTTTATTAATAAAAATTTTAGACAATAATACCCCTACTTTAAAACAAATTTACATTAATATCCTATTTCAATTTTAACCTTGTCTAATTAAAATTTTGGACAATAATGCCTTTATATTTAAAATATTTTACAGACCACCACTGCCACCAAGCCACCATCACCACAGCCACCCACCAGCCACCACCGCCAACAGCGGGTCAACCACCACGGACCACTGCGGAAAATTGTCGGAGTCCCTAAAACACTGGAAATTCTGTGGGAGGCTCGGGAGGCTTCGCTATGGCCGTTTTTGGCCATATTGATGCCGAAAACGGCCATATCGGGCCAGATCTGGCCGGAAATGGCCGTTTTCGGCCATCAATATGGCCAAAAACGGTCATAGCGGAGCCTCTTGGTCACGGTGACGTACTCACAGGCACATCCGCGGTGGTTCGCGGTGGCGGCAGGAGGTGGGGTGATTTCATCATAAATTAAAGTTTTATATAAGCGGGGGTGTTTTAGCTAAATCTGAAATATTCGGGGTTAAAAGAATTATTCAAAAATTAATAATAAAAATAATTTATATTAATATTAAAAGGGGAAATTTAGTAATTTAAATAGCATACCCACCAATTTATTCCCCAAACCAAACAATTAATATAACATACCCACCAACTAACCAAACATATTTTTCTAAAGATTCCCAGTAATCTTCAAGGTAATCTATCTTTCCAGTAATTCAATATTCCTAGTAATCTAACATTCCTGAACCAAACGCCCCCTAAAGATTACTAGAAATGTTAAGGGAAATTTTTTGCTGACTGGAATAAATTGGTTACTATATTATATTAATATGTTTGGTTGGGAGAAATAATAGATTGGTGGGTATGTTATTTAAATTATAAATTATCATCTAATTAAATATTATTATTTAGATTATTATATAACCCCCCCCCCCCCCCCCCAACGTTTAAACTTAGCAAAACAACCCATAATAAAAGTTTGGAAAATCAACAATGCACCCCACCAACCTAGCCACTGTCGGCCGTGGCACCGACAAACCATGGCACATTGACAATCAAAAATGGCTCTGTGCGACAATATGGCCATTTCCCGGCGTCTCTGGCTGGAAATGGCCAAAGCATGAGAAACTGATCGTTTCTGCCAGATCACGGCACATGGCGACAGGTGGTGGGGTAGTGGCTTGGTGGTTTGCAATTTATTTGAATTCAAGGTAATTTTGTCCAAAAAGTTAATTATTGGGTAAAATTATAAAAGCTAGATTCATAGTAAATTAATTTAAAACAAGGCATAGTATCCTAAAATTTTATTAATAAGGGATAATTGTAACAAAGTAAGATTACCTTGATAATCTTAAAATACCTAAGAAGATAGAGGTAATTAAATTACCTCCTATATACCAACAATAATTACTATTGTTGTGGAAGATTTTTAGAATCTTATATTACTACTTACACAAACGTGGTAATAAAGTAAATATAAGATAACATTACTTCAGTAATCTCACTTACCCTCCAACCAACGCACCCTGATAGTATTAAAGGGAGATTTCAAAAACTACCACTTATCTGATGTTAATATTCAGACACATGGCATTATGCAAGAACTATCAAAATATACCCTAAACCTAACACCGTTCAATTAAGTTTAACATTCATGGGTATTTGGACAATTAACTAAAATAGTATGTTCAAAAAATTTGTTCCACTATTTCCAGAACCATTTTTTTAAATAAATTAAAAAATTAAATTAGAGTGAAGCCAAGATGTGTACCCGTTTCAAGTTGTCAAACATCACAAATTTTCAGATTCAATGAGAAGGCAAGTGGTATTTTCATATAATTTCCCATTTCAAGATAACAAAACTTAACACTGTTAGGGTTCAGGGTACCACGTGAGATTTATGGTATAGTAACCATGAACTTGAATATTAGCTAGGTGAGGGCCTGGGATAGGTTTGAAAATCTCCCTAGCATTAAATTTTATCCAATTCAATCTTATTCAAACCACTTCAATTCAGTGCAAAATAACCAGTACAAACGCACCCTATCAGCATTTAAACTATAAATTACATGTAATCTACATGTGGGAAAATAGGGGAGAAATCCATTATTATAGTGACTAACTTAACATAAGATGACATCAACTTACTGTAACTGAAATACAGTAGTGTTTGAGCTCATTGGAAGGAAGAGATAGAATACACAAGTCGCCTTTTTATTTTCATATTCAGTAAAAATACACCAAGAATTGTGACTTGTCTCCTCAATGATTTTATTAGATTTACATTTCCTAAAATAAAATGATATAATAAGTTAATGGGAAAAAGTTTGTACAAGTTGGAGTACCTCAAATGGCATGCTGTACATGCAAAATTGCAAGAGTAACCAAGCTAGTATACATCATTTGATTACATTCAGATTCTGTGTACTTCCTGGGTATAACCAACCTCGCCATAATCATCAACCACCACCTGATTCAGATTGAAAATTAGTACTTCAAAATCAAAAACTAGAAACTCATCCAGATGGCTCTATTCCACAACCAAAAGATAGGGACCGAATTACCTCTATCTATTGCCCCTGTAAGTGTACCGACATACAATTGCTTAGGCTCTCCCGGACAAGGATCGCAGAAACCCATGATACCCGACTTCTTAAACACCCTCATAAGCTAAGCAAACAGATTGAACAAATTAAATATAAATACGTCAAAATTATGAGATCTAAATTCATTTAAGTAGCTAATGCATCCAACACAATCTAAATCTTTTCAAAGTTGAAGACAAAAATCAATTCTAAGACTGCAATAATGTGTGTACTTGGCTTCTGCAGATAGTTTCCTCTTAAAAAGTATGACAAATTTACAGCCCATAATATCAAATAATATAAGCCCTTGGATTATGTAAAAGAAGTGCATACACCAATTTATCCAAAGTATTTCTAGCCATCCATATTATTAAAAACCAGAATCGTGACACTAGATTCGTATGAGAAAACATCTCAAGCAACAGCGTTCAAAGAACTAACCCTGAGTTGCCCAGAATCTTAACTAGGAAATTAAGAGGTAATGTAACATCCATGACTTGCGAAGCGTTTCATCGTTCAAATCTCTTGATCCACTCTCTTTCAAGTGTTGCGAGCACCAAACTGCTTTAGTAATAACCAGTCCCCTGTTTCCATTTGCCTATTCCTTTCCTGTTGGCCACTTTTGTAATAATTGCTGAGCTTTTTCTGCTGCTGCCTGTGCCTGCCTCTGACCTATACATGAGTGAGACCCACAGATTTTTAGACAAGGCCAGAACTTCCAAATATTCATAAAGTAAAAACAACCTCCTGATATCCATTTTTAAATAGTTCCTTAGTTAATTATGACATCTCTGGTTTATGTTTGCATGAAGCCTTGCTAAGATACTTCCTTCTAATATAGTTTATTGTTAAAAAGAAAGATAAATAAATAATAATAAAAGGTGTACTACACTCGACAACCAAGGGGAATCTCTCCCTTTCAAGAGCTGGGGAAGTCGGTCCAAACAAAAGCGCAACACTTCATTCATTCAGTATAAATTCCAGTCCACCATAGAAAATGTTATCTTCCAAAATGGGCAGTTTATGTAGTCCATACAAGAAAGAGTTGGACCAAGCTAATGTATCTGAACTTGCAGATCTTAAAGCAGGGTGACTCTTACCACCAATGAAAGCATAACTACCTTTGGGAATATGGGTAGTCATACTCATCCCTGAGCAGAATTTCTTTCCATATCTCTAATGCCTTCTGTTTTTCCCTCTTACGATAATAGGGTTTGAAGAACAACTTCTGTGAGCACAGACAACAAAAATATACAGTGAGAACCTTCAACTTAAAAGTCCAGCACGTACACTGTGTTAAGTTTCACATCACATACACAAGAAACAATAACTCAGAACTTTCTAGCATTAGTTCAACAAGTATTATATCTCATAAAAGTATCAGAAAAATCTCATCAAACAAATTGCCAACTATCAGATTTTGGTAATTTCAGCCAAGAGTTTCAGGTTAGGTTAGAGAGTAGATGTGTCCAAATTCACTAAATGTAAAACAGTAACCCAAAATTTTGATTCATATAGAGGATATACACCTGAAAACTCATACAGTATATAGATACACTGAATACAAAACCAGAACTTCAAGGTAAATATCCAAATAAAAGAATGGAAGAAGAGCAGAAAATTTTACATACTTCAAAGACACTTCTTATATTTCCCCAAAAGCAGGAAGAATAACCAATACCGTTTTATCACACATATTTTCAATACCCAAGCTATATCTTTTCCAAATAACTCACCAAGAAATGTAACTGCTTTATGCTAACTATATGATTCAAAGCCTGGTGTTCCAGTTAAGTCTGAATTCCTTAGGACATACTTGCAAAAGCTCCAGATTATTTGAAATGGAAGTAACAATAATGAGTAATGGAATATTAAACTTTTCAACAAATAGGATCAGACAGAGTGTGATATTTATAACCTTAAGTGAAAAGTAAAGTGATGTTGGAATTATGAATGCTCCAGCTGCAAATAAGGAAGTGAAATTCCTGGAAGCATAACTGCACATAACAGTCATCGCAAAAGAAAAATCCAGTTAGGAAAAAACTTAAAGTCATATACAGGAATAAAACTATTTAATTCCCTGCGATGGTATTCAAAGCTATGGCTCACAAAAACATTAGGGAATTAAGAGAGAATGTTAAAAAATGCTATCCTTACAAAGACCCATACAAAGGGCTCCAAGTGACATCATCTAGAAGAAAAAACAAAGAAAAAACGGAAAAAGAGAGAGAGAGAGAGAGAGAATCATGAAATCAAGGGTGGGGATTGTCTTGTATGCTCCTTTGTATGTGCTTTGTAAAACTAGAATTGCTTGCTATGTTACTATTCAACTGTCATAACTAATTATCACACATCCCAAATTCCCATACCTTACAAATTAAATATTGAGTTTGCAGTACACTGTCGACCAGTAATTGCCATTGATTATTATGTGCCATAACAAATTATAATACCTTACATAAAACTCAAACACCGGACTATTGTGGATATAATGTGTATGTTTTGTATAAATGTCATTTACGAGCTCAGGCATACTTCCAGTTGCTGCCTTGAAATATTAAGTAAACCAAAATTGCTATTGTTACTTCAGATATATTTTTCATTTTAAGAATAACGAATATGCATCTATACTATTTCCATTGAAGCAACTCAAAAAAGCCCAGACTTCTATATCCACAAATCCTGTAGTGTTTGTAAATCTCTGATCCCATGGCATCCTACCCCAATACAGACACAGTTAAAAAAGAAAAATTGCAACCTAAAAATACATGAGCCATAAACACGATAATGATGAGATATGCATACAGGAATAATTAACTTTGGACCCCCACATGCAGCTCAAATTTCCAAAAGATACCCTGCAAAGAAACAGAGATTTATCTTCAGATACGCAGAAATATTAGTACAGCTAAAGAGCAAATCAGTCCACAAAATGGAAATCTTACATTCAAATCTTTGTAAGTATTCGGAAATAGATATGTTAATGCAACTATTAATCCAAAAAGGTCCCACAGCACCATAGTTTCATACAGATTTCCTAAAATCTGGATTTCTACTGCATACACAATAGTGGAAAAGCATAACCAATACTAATAGAAAATCATTTGCTTTTGGTAAAGGGAGAAGCAATTACCCGAACCCCTATTGTATACAGCATGCGTATGGTGCTGAATTCTGATACTTTCCTCCCACCACCAACTTCAACTCAGAGCAGTGCGCAACATAAAATAAACAGTCAACAAAACATGCCAGCCTCAACAAGCTAGAATATCTGGTATATTTCTGCATCACTTTTGTGCAAGAAACAATTCAAAGAATTATTTTTAAAGATTAAATGGAAAAAGGTATGAGATGATATAAATTCTGCCCAAAAAAAATATGACTGAAAGAGTCACAACATCAGGGGCCACTCTGATTGAAATCTTCATCTCATCATGAAAATCCAATTAAAGGATAACTATTTGAGTTGAACTCTTCTTGCTGCTAGCACATTGGCTTCCCAAAGTTCCAATTATCAAAATCACATGTCTATTTGACATTGTATTGTAACTCAGGGCTACTTTTTATTTTCCAAAAATGAAATTGGCCCCCTATACCACCAGTATTCTTTTGATGAAGGAAAAAAAAAAAAAAATCCTTCAACTACTGACATCTATAGGATGTCTAAGAAGCAGACAATTTCTCTAAGTTGGCAACAGTAGAAGAAATAGAAATGTAACAAGCTACAATAAATGAAAAAAGAGGAAATTTCACTCAGTTTCTAAAGATCATGGTAGGAACCATAATATTTATCATAAAATATTTTCCCCCATGTACACTTACTCAAAAAACTTTACCATATGAATCTATACTTCTTCAGTAAAAAGTAACTTTAAATAAGATTTTTATCTCTAGTTGTAAGTAGCTATTTACTACACCCCTAAAGAATAACACTAGCTAAAACATATCAGCTCATTGATCAAAATATAAAGGTGCAGTCCAATAAGTGGACTGCCCTCACATTTTTTTTTTTTTTTTTTTTTTTTTTTTTTTTTTTTTTTTTTTTGGTAGTAAAAGATCAAAAGTTAAACCCTCACAAAATATTGTCCACACAGATTTTGATAATATACCTTCCAAATCTGCCTGCTATACGGCCATGAGACTTTTTGGAAAAGCGACGAGTATAATGAGCTGATGCCCCAAAGGAATTTGTGCCAACCTTCAGTGTCAGAACATGAATAAGAATGACACAACAAAAAATGAAAATAAAGAAAAAATCAAAGACATTTCTAAAGAAGTCCAAAGAAGATAAGTGCATCTGTGTAACCATTTCTGGGCAATGAATAGAAAAAATAAACTTACCTTAATCTCTCCAATAGCAGACATCCTCTCATCTTTCTTTTCCCATCCAACAGAAATGGCTGACTCGACACCTAACAAAAGCTGAATCTGGAAAAAAAGAACATGAAAAACAAGAATCAATTAAAAGATTATTAGCAACCCAAAAATCAGATACAAATCAAAGACTAAAGATGTCATACTTCTCCATCCGAATAAAATGCCAAGTATTTCAACCTTGCACTGATTCATTACTAATTTCGAATTATCACAAACAACAACAATATGACAACTAAATACATCTTAGACATGCAAACTTTGGGATCCAAGGAACATCAAAACTATATACCACTTTCTTCATGCTGTCATTGCTCAAAATTAGCCATGCAAAATATTTTGTATGACCAAAGACAAAAAATTAACAAATAAATAAACAACCCAAATAAATCAAACAGCGGCATACATTTCCACTCGTCGTTTCAGAGAGTTGGCGGGTCCAGTTATTAGAAAGATTGATCGAGCCATCTCTCAAAGACATTGCAATAGCCATTGTTGCAGTTGAGTGTTGTGACAGGTTACTGGAAAATGAGAGAATGATATAGAGTGAACCCAGTATACGTGCCAAATATTCCAAACTTCCTTATGAAAACAAAATGCCCTACCGTGTTGTCTGCAATCCTATAAGGCCCCGTAAACCAGCTGAAGCTAAAAATTCTATTGATGAAACAGAAGACATCTGATGCCTAAGGACAAGTGAAGCAGCTCCGCCACCAGAATTTTCATTCACTTCCAAATTTCCACCAAATGCAATAGTATTGCTTTTTGATAATTGAGAATGAACTTCGCTACTCATAGCCATTCTGAAATTTGAGTAGATAAACAATGAGTAGCCAGATAAATTAGACATTAAGACACAAATAACTAGAGACATAAAACACATGGAACGTCAGTGATTATCTTTATTTAGAAATAAATGATCAAAGCAATATCAATTGGAAGGTGATAAAAAAGTAAAAAGAAAAAGAATTTGGAAGTAATGAAGAGACAAAGAAGACCATATGAACTACATATATAAAGAGAATAGTGAATACCACGGGTATGTAAAACCCAACAATGATCACTCATTAACAAAATAAAGTTATTAGGTACAGATGTTGGACAATTTATAGGAAAGCAAAGACACCACATATATGTGTATATGTACAAAAATTCTATCTAATCCAGGTTGAAATTTTTCCAGACTTCAAAACAAATCCAAATCATTAGCACATCAACCATTTAGGAAAAAAATCAATCAGGTGAAGCGAAACAAGGACCAGCACCCTCTCATTATGCCATCACCATCTAGAAACTGTGGCAAAGATAAGTTGGCCAGTATTGTCCCAGAAGGCCGAAAATGTGCTAACTTCTTCTCTTGTTCCTTCATCCGCCTTAGCCGTTCAAGCTCTTCCTTTAACTCCTCGACTTTATTGAGCTTTGGACCAAGTTCCAAACCAGAAGTCAGCCCTTCCATACCATATATGTCATATATTTGCCTTTTAGTCTCATCTGATAATATTTCATATGCTTCACATATGCGCTGAAAGTTCTCCGTAGCAATTTCTTTCATCTGACAATGAGATTTGAAAAATAAATAAATAAGATTTAATCACGATTAAAACCTGGCACAAACTTTATATGAGCATGCTCTGACTTAAAATAATTAACTAAATGGTGTTTATGCATCGTTATTTACATATTTTAAACAACTCTCAATATCTTTTTACCAATACAATAAATTCAAAGCAAAACTCAAATTTCAACATATTTGTACCTCTAAAAACACAATGTATCAAAACTCAAACAAATTTCAATACAAAAAACACATAGTGAATACAAGTTCGACTGAGTTGTGAGTTCACACTAAAACGGCACCGAAATTGAATCACGCAAATTGATAAGTTAAAATATAATAAAAAATAAAAAATAAACAGAATATATAAAGAAGAAAGCATACATGAGGAGCTTGGTATTTATCAGGGTGGTAGACTTGGGCCCACTGGCGATAAGCTTTTCTGATTTCTTCATCGGAAGCCTTCGGTGAGAGGTGCAAAAGTGCGTAAAGTTCCTTGTTGGGCGGTCCCGTATCCTCTTCGTTCATGTTTTGGTTATGAGGATGATTAGAATAAGACGAAGGAAGTGAAGTGAGTTGGTCTTTCCCGGAGATTGAACATGCTAAGAGAGAAAGAGTTGGGAATTGGGGGCTTGGGGTTTTAGGGGTTTTGTTTGGTGAGCATTGGGCTTGTGGGTTTGAACATTGTGTACGCTGCACGCTTTATCATTACAAGGGTATTTTTGCCAAACCTGGTGTTTTAACGAATTATATTATCTCTCATTAGTGTTTGGATCATACAGGGTGCGTTTGGTTTAGTATTTTGAATAGGATTTTGGGGATAGTATTGGGTTATTGGATAGGAGAGTATTATGAGGTAAATTTTAAAAATTTGTGAAAAAGCCCTTAAGTTTACTAATTTAATTAAAGACCCTAACATATAAAATGACAAAAACACTCTCACCACCTGCAGTGCCAGATTCCGGCCACCACCGTCAGAATCTGGCCGAAAAATTTTGTTACGGCATAGATCGGTCGGATATGTGCCGTAACACGTCGTTATGGCCTTTTCCGGCCAGATCCATGGTGGATCTGGCCGAAAAAGGCCAGATCTACGGTCTGTTATGGCAGTCGACGGCCGAAAAAAGCCAAACGATGGCCATCTTTAGCCGTCAACGACGGCCAAAGATGCGACCGTCGCTGACGGCCAGATCTGGCCTTTTCCGGCCAGATCCGTCGTGGATCTGGCCGGAAAAGGCCACATCGGTGAACTTCCGGCCATTTCTGGTCGGAAGTTAGGCCGTTGTACAGATTCCGGCTATCAACGATGGTGGTTGCCGGAATCTGACAAGTTGGGTTGATGTGGGTGTTTTTGTTAATTTTTAAACTTTTTTTCAGGGGGTATTTAGTGAAATTAATAACCTTATGGGGTTTAAAAGTAATTAAAAAAATAGGGTAATATTTCTGGAATAATGTGTCAAACATTATTTGGAGAATAGGATCCAGAATATGGATAAAAATATTAAGCCAAACACAGCCTATGTTTTATTATAGGGGATATTATATTAATGGAAAGATAGATCACTTTGAAGATTATTAAGAATGTTTAGAAAATATGTTTGATTGGTACGAATAAATTGGTGAATAATATGTTCGGTTAGGAGGATAAATTGATAGGTATGATATTTATATTACTAAATTGTCCTCCTTTTTAAAATTAATATAATAGTATTTATTATTATTATTTTTTGAATCACTCTTAACCCCCTATATTTGAAATTTTGTTAAAACACCCCAGCCATATAAAACTTTAATTTATAGCAAAATCACCCCCATCCACCCCAAGCCACTGTCAGCAGCTAGCCACCACCGTCGACTACCGCCGACAGTTGACAGAATGGCTCATGACTGGCCATAATGGCCGGCTGTGCACCGGCAAAGCCATTCTAGCCATGGATCACAAATTCATGGTCGTTTTACGGCCAAATCTATAGTCATTTCATAGCCAAAACCGTGAAAACGCCAAATCTTTAGCGGTGCTGTTTCACGGCCAAAGATTTGGCTTTTTCCAACTAGATCTCTTGTTGTTTCATGGCCACATCTTTGGCCATGAAACAACCATAGAAATGCAAGATCTGACTGTTTCCAATAGAAAAGGCCTTACCGACTCATGATCGGCCAGATCCTGTCGGTCGTGAACCATTACGGTGACTGACACTGGCTGCTGATAGTGGTGAGTAATGGCAGGCAGTGGTCTTGGGTGGCTAGGGGTATTTTGTTAACTTTAAATTTTTTTATGGCTGGGGTGTTTTAACTAATTTCTCAAAGGTAGGGGACTAGGAATTTGTTATTTGGTAGACAGTTGAGGGCAATTGTGTTCGAAATGACATTTAATTAAGGGCAAAATAGGTAAAAAAAGTAAGATTACCCCCAATATTACCAACAATAAACACTATTTGAATAAAAGATTCTCGTAATATTTTATTACTTGCAAACCAAACACTAGAATCCTGCAAAATAAATGAAGATTACCCCCGTTATCTTACAGGCTCTCGGTCTAAACACAGCCTCAATGGTTTCCAAAATACCCCTACCCCCCCTAACCCCATTTTTTTCTTATGACCCATGTTTTATCCTCTTAAAAAAAAAATGTCTATTATTCCTTTTTAAGTGATATAATAACAACACTTCTTGTAGATTTTTTTTTCCCATGATATAGTCATGAATATTTTAAAACCCCTATATCATAATTCTTACTTAGCGATTGAGTCGTCCTATCACAAACATAATTGAATCGTGCTCTTATGTTCATTACTTAGTGTTTGAGTCGCACTCCCACACACATAGTTGAGTCATAAGTTTTTCATCTAAAGATTGAACTATATTTATTACCTAGAAGTTTAATTGTGCTCCCACATAAATAGTTGAGTCGTGCTCTATATTCTTACTTAGTAATTGAGTCGTGCTCTCACAAACATAATTGAATCATGCTTTTATGTTCATTACTTAGTGGTTGAGTCGTGCTCCCACATGTTGGGATATTGTGACTCGCTTTCCTATTTGTTCCCATATAAAATTGTATGTATTTAGGAATATTATTTAACAAATAATACAATTATAAATAGGAATAAAATTATGGGAGTCTTACTAAGAATTGAAATATGAATCATATAAGAAATATAATGTCTCATCTACTGCTTATAAATATAGGGGTGAGAAACAATTCAAGGTTGGTTATAAGAGAATGTGAGAACACAATGTATTTGATGTAAGGGTTATTAAACAACATGGGTAGAGTATCTTAGAATCTAAGATTGTTTCCGCTCTAGGTATTAGGTTAAGCGTGGTTAAAAACTATGATTGTTTTCACTCTGTTAATTTTATACCAAATTTTGGGTGTTGTGTACTCTTTTATATCGTGTTCATGAAACTATACAGCATTTCTCTCATCCGTGGATGTAGGCGGGTTATGCTGAACTACATAAATATCATGTTTTTTTGTGTGATGTGATATTATTCCTATGTTATTAATCTCGAATTTATGTTTTCCGCTACGCGATCTGTTAACAACATACATATAGTTAAGTTGTGCCCCTACATTTTTCATCTATAGATTAAACTATATTTATTAGTAATTAATTCATGCTCCCACACAAAGAGTTGAGTCATGTTCATGTATTCCTACTTAGTGATTAAGTCGTGCTCTCACAAACATAATGTAACCTTGCTCCTATGTTCATTACTTAATGGTTAAGTCATGCTCCCACACACATAGTTAAGTCATGCTACTATGTTTTTCAAACAAAAGCGTGGTTGAAAACAAGCGTGGACAAAAAGCATTTTTAATTAATTCAACAAAAAATGGATTTTCAGATAAAGAAAGAGGAAGGTCTGTAACAACTATATATCTTTCCATTAACTCATGTGCTTTGAGTGCATTGTATTGTCAGGCTGAGAGAGTTGGAGATTATGGATTAAAATTGAGTTGAGTTTAAATTTACCTACCTGGTGCGATTGAAGTTGAACAAGACCCCCCGGATTGCGCCATAAATTAGGGGTGCTTCTTCTTTAAGTGCCTCCGCATCATCAAAGTCTTGTGCTCAGCGTTGATAATAGTTGCACAAAAATTACATACCCCACACGATTCTTCCCCTTTCTCATTTGGCTTTGCTCGTTTTGATCTGGTGAAGTATTGTCATACCCCAGACTTGACCCTCTTTGACGGTCTTGTCGAGTCCGTGGTGTCGCAACTCGCTTGTGTTTGGTTGCACGTAGTCCCAAGCGTTTCAGGTTAAGGAATTGCTGCCTCTGGAAATGTTGAAAATGGATCAAACCCTTCCATTTCTTCGGTGAATGGAATGTAAAACTCATTTGGGGATGATCCTCCGAATGCATAATTTCGAGAATTCATTATAAATTTATGATAAAATAAAAAATAATTAAAATAAAAGAAATTGAATAACAGAACAAATTGAATAATATAAATAATAATATGAATAAATAAATATAAATTGAATTGAAGAGAATTGGAGTAAAGAGATTGAGAGTTGAGTTGTGAAGAAAATAGAGGTTTGGGGGGTTATATATACTTGAGTTTGGGGGGAATGTAAAAAAAAAAAAAAAAAAACTTTTCCCCCATTATGACCGTTGGCTCAATGGTAAATTGACTGTTGACCAACGGTCAACTGACGTTGAATAGCCAACAGTCAAATCAAAAATTCCTTTTGTAAAATATCATTTTAGCTCTTATTATTTTATTTTATTTTAAAAAGCAAGGGTTTTTTTTTACAGTTGCCAGGGGGATTTTGAAAAAAGGGGGAAGGGTTTGGGCCCAGGCTTGGCCTTGGAGGAGGGACCAACCAAAGGATCGATCCTTCCTCCTTTAGACCAGTCTAGGTCTAAGCCCAAGCCCTATAGGACCGATTCTTGCAAGGATCGGTCTAGGGAACAGGTTTTTGGGTGGGTGTTTTTGCCCAAGCCCAAATTCCTACCTAAGTGTTTAAAAGCTTAATTGAATACACTAAATACAATCGAGATTTTATTCGAAAGTGATATAGTTATGATATTATTTTTCTTAGTTTTTCATTCAGTTTTGCTCAAGGACTAGCAAAATCTAGGTTTGGGGCCTTTTTTTGTATGTTTTATATTATATTTTGTTAGGTATTTAATTTAATCAAAGTTTATTTTTGTTTTAGGTGAATAGTTGGAAACAGGGTTATTAGTCTTAAATTCAAGTCAATTGCACAAGTTAAGCTTTATTTGGGCGAACAGAATTGAAGATCCAAGTAAAAGGTTACAGCCCAAAGGAATTCCAGAAGAATAAAACAAATAGACCAAATTAAAATTCGCCTTAAATTGTAAGTGCTACGTGACTACATGTGAATGAATTGGGAAAGCTTTGTATTGGAGTTGGAGTTGATGATTGAAGCCCATTGGTGAGATGGAATTTGTAACACCCCGCCCCACTACCGGCCCAACAAAGTTGAAATACTGTCCGCTTTGAAAGTCCGATAGTTGTATTTTCGGGTCCAAAAACTTTGCTCAAGCAC